TTAAGTTAGAATTCTGAAACGAAATCTCGAATTTTCATGAAGAGTTTGTCGTAATGAACCACTTCATAAGCGTAAATGTGCATACTCGTTCGAAACCCCACAATGTGTAATTACACTTTTGAATAAGCCATTGTTGGACATTAAATTACTTATTTCCTATTGTGTTCAGGAGGGTACAACACATTTTGCGGCGTAAATTATAACATACTTTAGATCTTGTAACTGCCCTGGACAAACATTTTTTATCTCACAGTGGGAAAAGGTAAATTTTGTTTTCAGTAGGTGCGAAGGCAGTTTGTTTACTTTTCGCAATAGGAAAACTCCAGTCGAAAACAAAGTGTTTATGTTAATTGACTCGAAGTTTTTAATGGATCGTTTGGCGTTAAACAGGTAGCTTTGAATTAGCATTATGTTTACCAAGAATGTTCATTAAATTTTTCCATCCTATTCATTTGCGAGGCCTAATTTAAATTTCAAAAAGTGTTAGTAATTCAAAATCCATGTGACGCGTCTAACCAAATAAGAATGAAGTAATGTGGATTTTCGGTTTTCGAACACTTTAGGGATCTTGAAATGAACCTAGTCACAATCTGTGCTACTTTTAAGATGTAGGTTGAAATTTTCACGTTTAACCTTCGATATTTCGTTTTTAAAATTATCTCAATTCTTAACCATCTTTTTGTCATCAGTTCTGCATCTCACCCAACAATAATTTTTTTGACTCCCTTAAACAAAAGGTAGTTTTGGACACGATGGAAAAAAAAATCAAACAGAGGAATGATCTCATCCATTTGGTGTCTCTTCCATGAAATTGCGTTTTGGAGCCCCGTCTCTTTCAGAGTACCATGGTGCCGCACCTCCTGAGGGAAATTTTACCTAATTAAACAGTGATATGAAAAAAAAACTGACAGGAAAAAAGATAAAGAGAGAAAAAAAAACAGGTTGAAGTTTCGCCTTGAATTGAAAGATATTTCTTGAATATTAGACATTTGTGTAACTCTTCGTTGACCAATGAGGTTCATTCGCTGTCGATTCTTGAAACGTCAGCAGTCATTCTAGGGAGTGTTCTCAAAAATTCGAACTGAAATGGTCTATTTACCGTGCAAATTGTAAAATCGATTAGCAGTTGCAACGTGGTGAGCTTGAAATTACTTCCTAAAGCTTTCTTCTCTTTCAATTCTAAGTAGAAAAATAAAGGACAATTAATTTATATTATTTTCTTAGGTTTCTCCATCGCACCATATCATTATGAGGTAAACCAACTTCCATTTTCTTCTTTTCCCTTTTTTTTAAATCCCAAAGATGATACAAGGTTTTACAAGTTTTGCAGGTGAAAACAATTATTGAAACGAAGACTGCAAATTTGTGGTTTTCAAGGAATGGATTGCAATTTCTCCACAGTAATGCTGAATGGATTAAGTATGAGGCACTATAGAGAATTTGTACGTTGATAACGTGGCTCAGGGACCAAAATTTATTCAGATGTAAGTTAGGGCTTTCGTTAAAATGTTTTCGTTGATTTTTCACTAAAATGGTCTCACTGTGAAATGGCACTGTTCTTAGTGTAAATGATAAATTATGCTTAGCCACGAAGCCACACGCCAAACGTGTCGTGATGAAGATAAATATATGTTATTTGAAGCGCGATGCTATATAAATGTTGTGGTTTAGCAGATGCGTGCCATTTGCCGAATTAATACAGCCTTCAAGTGTTTGACATTTTGTTTAATCTCTAAAAATGCAAACTGGAACTTTTCGAGAGTTATCCGGAGCGGGCAATATTGCCAAACTAAGAACACAGCTTTTCATTAAATTAATCCCTTGCGTGATAATATTGTGTTCGAAAATTCCAATCAGCTGTAGATCAAAATATATAAATTCCATCGGCTCATTAGTTTGTTCCACAATGCTATCGAATTCAAATCTTTTGAGTAGTAGAGAGATGAGTGAAAGCAAAAGAATTGATCCGAAAATAGAATCACGCAAATTTGCCCACGAGATGGATTACTTGTGTTGTTTCTTTAAGAACATGCTCAGAAATGGAGATCGCAAATGGCATTTGCAAGACTCCATTTTTCTCCTCCAGAATATCGCTTTCTAATTTCTAAATTTCTTTCTTTTGAAGGATTTTGCGTGAAGTTTAGGTACAAATTGTGGATTAATTTGATTTCGATACGAAAGACGGAAATGCTGATGTGCAAATCCACTTTGTACTTGCCCGCTGATAAAACAGATCAGTTTAATGACATCTCAAGCTCTATTTAAAACGAGAAGATTAAAGTAGATAGCTTCAGCGTGAAATTTCCAGTGATGAGAAAAAGGAAATGGAGTTGAACACTTTTGAATAATGTGAAGAGTTAATTACTCGCAAATCTAGTACGAAATGATACAAACCTCACGGAAGTGAATTCAGTGTAGTTTTGACTTTATTTAGAATCTCAAGGTGTTAATTTGTGCGCCTCGACTATGAAAGTGTTCGAGCACTTTATGCGCTTTGGTCGTACGAGTACATTCTTTTTTTTTTTTCTTTTGTGTGATATTGGGCTCCTTAGATTCTCATTTGAAAGTACAATTGTTTTTTTTTTTATTAAACCTAAAACGAATTTGCTCCGGAAAGCTTGATTTAACAACAACAGACTTTTCAATGCTTATCTCCTGTCCAGTCGTGTGATTCGGCGTGTGTGTTCGCCACAGGATAAAAAGAAATTCGGCTAAAGAAATAATCGCATGTCATGAATAAAGTACAATATGTAATTTTATGATATCTTTCACTGCAGCTTCCTTGTGGCTAGCACTTTTTAGTGTGGTTGGACTGAGAGTTAAAAAAGGTTGGAAGCCGGTGAAGTGATTCTTACCGTTATTCAAATACTGGTGCAAGCTAATTGAAGTTCGCCCAGAAATACATGCAGAAGATAGATCAGAAACTTCAGGCAATAAGAATAAACACGTCATATAAAAGGGACTTAAACATGATGATTACCCGGGTGCTTTCCCCTTGTGTTATATTTGTTACTTAGAGAGAAAAATGTTTTGATTCTACGTAGTAAGAAGGAAAATGTGCCAAAAATATTGAACAAGATAGGAGGGAAATATTTCAGATACTTATTTGTGATCTGGTTAGCAACGGAATCGGTATTTGTGAATAACAACTTAAAACACCTATATCTCCAAAACGCTTTAATGCTAAAATACTCTACATGGAATTTTTTCAAAGAGGCCGAAATATGAGCTTTAAACATTAGGAATGTAATGCAAATATTGTAGCTTGAACATAGGTGATCTTAATGGAGGTTTTGTAGTTTGTTTTTGCATTTCCGACCTTCAAAAACTTCTCTGTAAAATGTCGCGTCCAACGGTTGAATTGTAAATATTCTGTAAGATGTTGGCATTTTTACCCAAATTAAGGCGGTGAACATAATGAAACAGCTATTAAAATCGTTTAGTCAGACGTATTTGTTTAATCAGGGACGAAAGAAGATGATTCCAAGCAGTCAAGTAAGACGAAAAATAATATTTGTATAAGTGTGCATTGATATTGCTTCTCCTGATGACAGTCGTGAATCGATAAGCAATTGGAAAGGTGAACGCAGCTGGAATATTTGGACAACATGTGAACTATTCAAAAAGACAATTTTGAAACTTTTACTCAAAACAAATCTTTCGCAGGTGAAAGTTTCAATGTAAAGTGTTACCCAAGGACATTTTCAAAACTTATGCCATCCTTTGCCCTGTTATTGAGGTTTGAAAACGGTTTTGAAGTAAAGAAAAGTTAGAATTTCTCCTCAGACGGAGTGTGAATTATCTGCAAAAAAAGAGAAGAAATTGACGTTTAACCTTGTTTTTGAGCTCAGACTACTGCACAGTTGTTCCTGGAAATAACTCTACTCTTTCAGTTCTGTCTGACTTGAGTTTTGGAGCCACTGATCAGATGCATGACGATTCCTAACTCCTAATAAGCCGACAACTGACGGGACATAATTTTATAACTCACCCTATTAAAATAACTCTTACCCTATCCATAACCTAAACGCAAAAATTATGATCCGTCAATTAGTTTCCACCTGAAAAAAGGTAATCCAGGCTTAATAGTTTCCATAGTGTTCAATGAGACAGCAAAGAGACATTCTCCATTTTTCTCCTCGGTCTGACTGTCATACGGGAGGAAACCCTATAGGTAAACATGTCATAGAAGCGGGCGGTCGCCGTGGGAGGAGTATCCTTTTTTTTTTTGGGGGAAGGAAGGGTATCTCAGCTGGAGAGGGGGAGGGTAACTGGGACGTGACGTTATGTTTCTTATCCTATTTTACTTTTTGCCTCAGGGGCCCAGGGCGACGTAAAAAGAATCCCGACATTCCTCCCGAGCTGCTAAACAATCCGTTCAAGCATTTCAAAGTCGATCATCACGCTGAAAGACCTGTCAACATGTCGAACGGAGAACCAATGAAGACAGACGATACGAACAAGTCCATTTCGGGCGATTCGTCGCCTAATGCTGGTGTAACTTTGACGATTGAAGGGTCACGTGATGCCAACAACAATTCAACTGGGGCTGAAAGGAAAGACCCACAGTTCAGGACGCCAATTTCCCGACCGCCTGAGCGCGCTCTGAACATGACACCGTCCAATCTCACGCCACCATGTCTTCACGGGAGCCCGCGATATTCTACCACACACGTAATTCATTCTCCAACGAACGCTCCGCCATCACGTATCATAAGCCCGCCCAATGGCGTTGCTGTGCCGCCAAACTCTCAGTCATGCGCGTTCAACTTTCCACCTCGTCCTCAGGCGTCTTTGAGTCCACAAGGAAATGTGTTGAGTCCAGCAACGAATGGCGGTCCACCTAGCAACGGTGCGTCAGCGGTGGCCAATTGCAGCCCAGGAGGTCTCCTAGTGTAGGAGAGGCAATGAACGTTGAAGCCTCGGTACCTCATGTCAGTAGCACTGGCACATCTGAGCATGTGGAGTTCAGGAATGCCGCTGTTAATGATACGGGTTCTGAAATGTCAGTCTCTTCGCCACACGTGTTATCTCGAGAGGTTTGTTACTGAGACCATAACTTATTTTTAGACATTTTACAATTAACTAGATTCTATCACTAATTTGATTTAATTTTCCTCTTCAGCCTGAATTCAGGGAGCCTGGATCCACGGGTTAGTTTTAGCTGTGATTTTCAGGATGTAACTTTAACAGAGCTACAAATGAATCTTTCACTACAAGATTTATCTTTCGCACATTACTCAAATTATTACTGCCTTTTTCCTTTTGCAGAAAGTCTTCTGTTAAACATACAGGGTCTTCTGAAGGTGGCTGCAGAAAATACGAGACAGAACGAGAGACAGGCTGTTTACGAAAGAAGTAAGTAACGCCATCGAGAAATACGGTCCGATTCCTGTTCGTACCTCAATGACGTCTCAATCGAGTTAACCCTTTAACTCCGAGAAGTGATTAACATGTAACTTCTTCCAATAATATCCATACATTATCCGCAAACAGGTAATCAGAATACTCAAACTTATCAGTTAGAAGTTAATATCTCGATCTAACACTAAATTCTCGTAACTAATTCACAAGGAAATGTGTAGCAGCTAGAGAGGAGAATTTACAATCAGATCTCGGGAGTTAAGGGTTAAACTAATTTATCTATTTTATGCCTTTCTTCTTAGATGAACTTCGCCGATACATTCATCGCGAGCGTGAGGTTCGAGAGAAGGCCGAAAGACAATCCGCTGCTCTGCAGAGAGGAAAAGGTAAACATAATTCTCCCTTTGGGCCTTCATTCGTTATCTTCGACTCTTCCTACTGCCAATTTGTCAATGTTTATTTCATTTCCCGACTGCCTCACAGTTTTCGTGCATCAGTTCTTAGAGTTAAGTATTATATCAAGGAAAACTGGTGGCAGCAAGAAAACTGTCGTGGTGAGGTGTATCGATTTGCAAGAAGGCAGATGTGATTACTTCAAAAGACGGGACGGATTGATTTAAGTGAAATTCGGGTTGTTTTAATCAAACACGAAAAATTGTATTCACAAACGAAAATTGACGAAAATCCGCTTAATCTAAACTGGTTATAGTTTGCTTCAAGTTCAGGCTAACCATGCCGTTATGCGAAATTCAGCGCCAGTAGTCGCACGCTCGATCACGGTAAAAAAGGAAGTCTTATGCTCTCGCATCCCGTGACTTAGTCAGTGTAATTAATACGTGGCGAGCTCTATCGGGCTTTATTATTATATATGTTTCATTATTTAAACTCGACGTCACAGGAGCTATTTATTAGGATATGAACTCTTTTGGGAACTTTAAGTATGCATGCAATTCTTGCGATTCTGCTCCTACAAGTGTACGCGTTTCGGTTTTTTTTTTCGCCTGAACCGTGACGAAGCAGCGTAAATACGGATAGTTTCCCTTCTGTAAGCATGATTGCGCATGTCATTGCCACCGGCTGTTTTGAAACTCGGTCTGTTAGGCACAGCTAGTATGTCTGCGTTTCAGTTTGAAAATAAGCACGAAAAGAAAAGCGTGAATTAATGAAGTAGACTACTGAATTGCTCAAGACTTGTGTTGCTGATTATAGCTTTACCACTCATATTTTTTCGGTTTTTTCCTTCAGCTTTTCTTCAAAAGAAACTCAAGAAAGAAAAGAGAGCGCGGCGTAAGCTCGCTGAACAACTCCTTGGTAAGTTCTGGACACTCCTTTCAAATTCTTTATATCAGCGACTATTTTAAGCGATCAATTATTCCCTGCAATATAGTTGTAGAAGTTCTAAGTATCTTCAGTAGTAAGCCACTGGAAATTAGAGAAAGACGTTCACTTTCTCTTTTGAATTGGTGCGGACTGTTAAGCCCTGGGTAGTTTGCTTAATAGCGAAAGAACTTTGTAGTGTGACAGGAAAAGTTAATATTCCTTGTTCAGTCTTCGTCTTCCTCTATGGAAGAGTATAATTTTCGACTAGAAATCAAATAGTAGCCATATTATCTCACATCTCTTAAACCTTAAGATTGATATGCATCTTATTTCTCCCAACACTATCACCCCTAAATCAAACCTTAAGGTCATGAGAATAAAAGAAATGATCGTGAGATCACTAAAGAAGCTGATTCTTCCTGTAAGTACCCTGGGAAAAGTATAGAGAACAGAATGGAGATTTTGCAAACCGATGTTTAGGGTGTTTAAGTGTAGCAGAGTACTGGTAGAACGTTGAGTTTGATTCTTTTCTTTCGAATTCGTCAGAGGAACAACAACGATGTGAGCTGCTTGAAGAACAGCTGAGACAAACGACCCAAGATGCTCTTAAACAGCGAAACGGTGAGCAAGCTATGTATAGACAGTTTATGAAAGAAGTTCACCTAACTGCCTCGTAGAATGTTTAAAGAAGGAAAATACCACCAACGTGATTTAACTAACAATACATGGGAGTTACAATGTGGAATTCCTTGAGTTAGAGAGGGGAGGGAGGAGGAAGATAGAAGGGGGGGAAGAAGAGAAGAAGGAGAGGGAGGGGAGGGGGGGAAGGGGGCTATGGATTAAGAAAGATGATCACATACCTGTATTGGTATATCCTGATATATTAAAGTGCCGGTGAAATGGAAAAACCTTTTTCGTGCTGACAGGGGTAGGTTTTCATGGGGTCGTGTCCCACGTATGAGGAGAAGAGGGGGATTGGGGTGGAGTGAATTACCAAGGGGGCTTTAAGACTCTGTTTCATCGACCCTTCAACACCCATTTCTTGAAATTAACATATCTGGTTGACTTCTCTGCAGTTTTCTTTGAGTGACTTATGCTTTCCTTCTTGTCGCCTTTTCTAGATGAGTTACTCCAAGAGCTGGAAAAAGAACGCTGCGCCAAGATTGAAGCTGAGAGGAAGCTTAAAGGTAAGCTAGGTGCGTGACACGCGCTATTCTTTTTTTTTTTTTTTTTTAATGGAGTGTTTGTATTTCTCTTCATTTGATATCATTAGCAAGGTTTCCTTTCAAAAAGATTTAACTTAAATGAAGCAAGATGATAACTTCAAAAGCTCCCATGCCAGGTTATTAACATGAAAACATTAATCACGTAAAGTAATGACTCGTGCAAGTTGAAATTTTCTGTTGTAGATGGCATAAAGAACCCTTGTAGAGGAAATCGTTTGTGGCTCGGGGAATTAAATCTTTTAGTAGGTTTTATTCTTAATTCTGACCTCTGAGAGTGATAAGCATCTAGTTTTTCTGTGGATTTCTCATAAATCAAATATTACAGAATTATAGAAAACCGAAGAATCTGCAGATGTTGAAAAAATTCCTTGTCAGTACCATAGGAAATACAAAGAGAACAGTATGGAGAATATGCATACTGATGTTAGGGTGTGATGGGTTAACAATTGTCTTTGGAAAAGTCTCATCACCAATGTTTACAGCGAACATGTCTTCTTGTATTTGTATGTACAGCGCTTGTGATTGGTGCATTTAACTCAGTGATCTTTTTTCCTTGACAGAAGCTAGAGGGGAGATCCAGAACTTTGTTCATAACTTTCTTGAAAATCCGAGTCAAGAAGGGCCTGGGCACCACCGATCGGAAATGGAGCCGGATGAGCTAAACGGGGTCGAAGTGGTGAAGGACGAACATATCGTCACAACATAGGTCTGCAATGCGTTTGCACTTTGTCACCTGCTGAAGAGGGCGGTTTGAACGAAAGACAAAGGTAGCGAGCGATAGTGAAACGGAAATTATCTGAACCATGAGGAACGCAAGAGCCGACAGCAGAAATATAAGAGAATAGCTGTCGTTTTTGTTATGAAGTTCGTTTGTTCTAGTTGAAATTGCCGACGTTGAAAATCAGTTTGCCATCCTAAACGAAATAAGTTAAACGTGAAATCCTTGGACGATTGGCAAAGGAAAGCTCGATCCTTCGATGAATTCTTGTTTGGAGATAATTATGTCAGAAAATACACACAGTTTAAAGTTGTTCTTTCTGTGTTGCAAACAACTCGCTAAATGCTATTCAATGGTAGTTATCGATTTGATTGTTCGGAACTACAGCTGCATATTTTTATACTTTTGTAAATTTGAAAGACTAATTCGTTCGTGGCATTCATTTGAGATTTGATGATTATTTATTTTTTATGCGACAGGAGCTGTTTTTATATTACTCAGCGTAGTTTTTTTGTATATATATTTCTCTAAATAAAAAGATGTTTTGTTTCGTTGTCCAGTTTAAGCTGCTTTATTCAAATTTTTAGTTACAGTAATTTGTCTACAGTCGGCCATCTGAGCATCTCAAGCAAATGTTTTCTTTAATTCAAGGTTACAATGAGAGCAATTCCTTTTTCTCACTGTCCACCCTGGGAGAAGCGAAAAAACAATTGCAACGTAAAACGGGTCAAGAGTAAACTACTAATGGATCAGTCCCTGCTTTTCGGCAAAGTCTGCCGCGTGAGTCCCGAAAAAAAAATCAGTGAAAAAATAAAATTGGAACTTCGGGAATGAGGCGCACGAACAGAGTTCCGCGCGGCGCTCTCACATCACTTGTTTTCTTCACTGAATTTTTTTAACACGCGCGAAGGACTCAGAAAAGGAGTGACTGCTGGTAGTCTGGAGCGACAGCGAGAGCCAATGATTCCATACATAGCTAGAAAATAATAACTTACAAACAGCTCATCTTTTTAATATAACTTACAGCTATGCTTTTACAGCGACAACCACTATATACTCAGAACTCAAGACTCTGTTGAATCTCGTTCATCGTGCGCGCGCAGGTCTGAAGTTTCTTTGCCTCGTTTTCGTCCAAAGTCTGCTTGATGACGTACATGATGCCATGGGAGCCGAGCACGCAAGGAAGGCTGAGAAACACCTCTTCTTCGATTCCATGAAAACCCTGAATTGAAAAAGCATTGAAAGGGACTTGAGTCGATTTCTAGAGCAAATTTTCAACCAAGAGGACTTATCTCACAACGCACATGTCTCGCATGGCTAAACACTTTAATTTCAGAGTGCCTCTCTCTACCCAGGAGTATAAATGGGTACCGGCAAATTGTCAGGGAAGTAGTAATGATCTTAGTCGCTTCATGCTGTGGAAACCGGGTTAAGCTCCGGCTGGATGGGCCATCTGGATAAAGTACAGACTTACCACCTGGCTTCCATTTCAGCCCCTTATTCTTAACGTTCCATCTATACTCTTCCTTGTAACGTGTTAAACCTCACCTTAGCAAGGGTTGAAATAGCATGTACGTTCTTCTGGTTCCTTAGCAACGCTTGACTCATGGTGGCGATACTCAAACCGATGGCCCAGGATGTGTAACCTTTCAGTTTGATCACCTCGTAGGCACTAAATGGAGAAGTAAGAACACTATCACTGACGGAGTCAAGGTCTCGCTAAATTGAACAGGAGAAAGAACAATATATTGCGTTTCGCTGCCCTCTAAGAGATTCTCGCAAATCTTATAGTAGAATTTCAGTTGCTGTGGCGCTTTTCTGCAAAACTGCAAGGTTTACGCGTGAAATCTTACACCATTGGAAAAGTCAAAGCTCAATAGGTTACTACAATGATTTCAAGATCTGAACTCTTAAATCTCGATGTAGTGAGCCCCTAACATTAAACACTTCACAAAAACAAACACCTTTTCTCCCTCGAATAATAATGATATGCATCAAGAAGACCTTGTTCTAGGATAACGTATCCAATTAAAAATGGACAAATAATAGGAAAACACGACAGATCAACGCAAGTACACACACAAGGTCGAAAATCGTCAAAGAGCTGACGTTACTAATTCCTTCGAGGACTGGAAGATGAATTTAACTCGGGCACAGTCGATTTCTTCCCCACCCCTCCCCCCTCCTCTTTACCCAAAGCCATTGCACTGGGAAATTTGAAACGCAGGAAGTCAGACCTGGCCCGTTAAACGTCAGATCACGCAGTGTTCAAAATACTATGCACAATTCCAAAAATTTACCTGTTCACAACCTTCTGGTGTACTTCATTCCATTTTTCCGGGTCGCCATCAGACCCGATGTCTGGGTGGAGATCCTTGAGATTAACTCCAGCAATATTCACACCACTCCAAACAGGCACTGAGAAACGAGGAAATACATAGAACAGCAACCATTTGACGAATGAGCCCAAAAATTTTAAGTTTGCAAAACAGTAAGGGAGAGCTTGTTTCACCCGAAGTAATATGGGAGATTCACTATGAGGGTAAAAAAAAAAAAGCGCTCATTGGTTGAGATTTAGTCACTAGGCAACGGGTCGCAGCTACAATTGGCTTAGTAACTTCCTGCTGTTTGGGAAAGGGCCCATGTTAGTGCGAGAGGAGTAAAGACTGGACTCCACAGAAGAGCGGAAACCAACCCCACATGGAAATTTTCTGAGACGACTTAAGTTCTACGACAGAACTTTGCCGTCGAAACAAGTTATTCAAACTGTGGCTGGTTTTGATTCGAAAGTACTACTGAGTCGCAGCGACTTGCTTTTGGAAGAAGCACAAACGGAGCAGCTTATATCAGAGGTCAGCTGTCACCTGGTGTGTTTTACCATTTGAACTAAAATGTAATACCCCCTATGATTATGATCAGTGGCCCTTACCAATGAAGAGCTAAGAAAGGAGTATTGATAACGTACCACTAGCATCGCCATGCTCCCCAATGATCCATCCATGCACATTGTTTGGCGCAATGTTAAGTTTTTCACTGATAAGAAAATGAAACCGGGCCGTGTCCAGGTGCGTTCCGCTTCCAATCACGCGCTCATGGGGAAGTCCGCTGATTTTCCATGCCACATAAGTTAAAATGTCCACTAAGATAATAATGGAATTTGTAAGATAATAATGAAAAATTCATTTCCATGTTTACTAACATTGTACACGTAGCTGACACTCGAAAGGAGACGTGCTGGACTCAATGTCGAGAGGTCTGGGTTTGAGCCGAAGTCGGGTCATTGTATTGTATTCTTGGGCATGCGCAAGACACTTCACTCCCATCAGTACCATACCCGGCTGCGCCTCGCGTGCCCCTATTTTGTTCTCACCACAGTTTTTTTGTTCTTGCCACAGCTGTGACCTTTTACTGAACAGATGTATCAAAACAAAGAATCAGTTTGTTTTGCATGATAAAAAAGCAAAATGTCGTTAATGGTCACGTCATCTATGCGTCTGTCCTCAGATAGATCGTACATTAAAGTCAATGAAAATGGGTGTAGAATTCATCTTATTATGTAATTGTTAAATATTGTTGGATTGTTTACCTGGGTTTGAGACAATCATCAGAATGGTGTTTGGGCTGTGTTTCACCAGCTGTGGAATGATTGCTGAAAAGTAGAAAATGCATTAAAAATTGCATGAGCATCCACAATGTTATTGTCAAGTGGTTGCTTTTATTCCATGAATCATTCTGCAGAAAGACTCCAGCCAAAGACATACCTTTATTTACCTTTGAAGATGTTGACATTTCTCTGTACCAGATCCCTTCTGCTTTCACCCCTCTTTCTGACGCCGAGCCCGCAGTCACAATGCACAAGTTGGAGTTTGCAGTAACAGCATAATCTGAGTGGAAAGGAGATGGGGCTGAGATGCAGGCTAATAAAACACATGCTGGCATCAAACATGAAACTGGTCCTAATCAGACCACAAAGAACAAGAGAAAAATAATTTATACCAGTGCTTGCACGGATGCCGACGTTCTTGACAAACCGCTGACAATGCTGCAAGTCCAACATCTCCCCTTTCAGCTTATCCTCAATCATGTCAACCAAGGCCAGTTCACGGCAAATACCCTGATCAGTGATGAAAATGACATATGCTATATATCATGAACAACCTAGTGGAGCAGTGCATTTACAAACATTTTCAGTATATCTCTCCTCATTTAACCATTCATTCCCATTACCCTCTGAAGATATAGCCAATACCTCTTCCTACTGACTGCCACACATTTCCTTGTAAATAGAACAAGAGAATTTGGTCTTACATCAAGATATCACCTAGGGTGATATTATTCACCGATAGGAATAAAAAGGTTAGAGAAGCTTGACCTGCAGGGGGAAAGAAAAGGAAAACAATGAAAAGACAAAGAAAGGGCTAATTAAGAAGTAGGGATGATATTTGATTAATGGATGTATACTTTAAAATGTAAAGTCCAACCTGCTGCATTATGCTGTAAGCGCATGCCATCCCTACTTGTCCAACACCAACAATTGTCACTTTACTTGGGGCTGTATGCTCCTCTTCATAGACTGCCGTCAACAATTTCTCTCGTACATTGGCCATGGCAATCACAAGTTAGAATCACCTCTGATAGTCCTTAGCTGTTGGAAGAAAAAAGGGGTGATCACATCTCAGGCCTGGTCCAGGGCTTTGAGTCTCCATGTCTTTTCTACTCAAGTGAATTATACTGGGATAGATTCAGGATTTTTCTAAAGGGGAGTGCACAACTAAGTTATGTCATCACTGACAGATGGCGCAAAAAAAATTTAAAGGCAAGCAATGAAGAAGAAACTACAGTGCCAAACTCAAACTATAATTTCATGACAATTAAAATAAATTCTTTAACCTTATCTCATGTTTTACCTCAACACCAATAAACCACATGATTCCATTTTTTGCAGAGTGCTAGTTATATTAGAAACCTGCTGGTCATTTTGGAGGGGGGGGGGAGTGTGCACCCCCTGTACCCTTCCTCTAGGTCTGTTCTGGTACTCAGGCTCTAAATTTCAGGCAAACATCAGGGATTTTATAACCAATTTAGTGTATTAAATATCTTGTGTCCTTTAGCATATTTATTTAGATCAGCTACTTGTGGGTTTACTCAAGCCTAATTTACTTTGTATGGGCTGATCATTTTTGTAAGTCAAATAAAGATTTCATAATTTGTTACTTGTTTATAATCCTAAAAGGTCTGCATGTTGTGATAATACATGTAATTGAGCGAATCTTAAATACTAGTTTATCTGCTTGTTTGATTCGAAAAGATTCTTCAGAGTCTTTCAACATACTGTAAACAGCATAAAAATGATATTTCAAAGATTATATTCATTTTGCAAACCTTTCAATCCTCAGAATCATCCCAGCATCTAAATATTTCCTGTTATTTCAATATTAGGAATTTATTTCACAAAAACACCCCATTGCTTCTAACTTGTCATCTGTCTGCTAAACAATGCAGTAATAATGTACAGAGAAGTACTGAGTACTTAAGCAGCTCAGAAGGTTAATAATACTTCCTGTGAAGGAACATATTTCATCCTGAATAAGATCTATCAAGAAAGGGATTTTACATAGCTGTAGTAAAGAGTTAAGTCTATTAAGACCTAATTACCGACTCATTACTGAAGCTTAACTCTGCAATTTCAGACATGAATCATTTCTCCTTCTAGACTGGATACTGACCACAGATTTCCTTGCAATTCTCCCAAACCTTCATCACATTTTACTGACACATCACTTTCTCTTTCTTGTTACCAAGGTTAGCAAGGAGGGAAGGGGAAAATGTTTCAACAATTGTGATGGGGTTTGTAGTTTGCTTGAAAGTTTTCTGACACCCTTTTGTACTCCCAGCCGGAGAGGGCACAGTGTGAGGATCTGAGATACCTAACTCTCAGAGCTGAAGCCAGACAGGAACTTTTTTTAATGAAGATTCCACCCTGCCAATGCATTTATTCCAAAGAGGAGTAGTGTGGGTACAGATAATTAACCTCTTGAGCCCTTAGAGTGACCAGCACCTAATTTCTCCTTACAATATCACCCCTGAATCAAACAATGGAAGGTCACAAGAAGAAAGGAAATGATCACCAAATCTCTTGATGTTAAATACTTAAGGAAATGTGAAGAGAACAGTATGGAGAATATGCATACTGATTTTAGACCATAAAGGGTCAAAACAGATGAGGAAAGGAAAATCTCAAAGAAGTCACTGCCTCACTCTGTCTCAATCAACAACACAACACATTCAAACAATGTTGTGCTGTTAGAAAACAATCAGGAATATCCCAGAGAGATGAACAGCAGAGTCCTACATCCCTTTAAAGATTCCTACCAGCTGCTCTATAACTTGGCTCAGATAATTCTGTGTTTTATCGACAAAAACACACTAGCTGGCAAGTTACTCTAGTTATTTCTTATAACTTTTTGTGTGGTGATATTACCTAAAAATTACTTCTGAAGGTGAGAAAATTTTAAAGAAAACTGGAAGTTCTAGTAGTTAAAGATATTTTAGTACTATTCAGTTATAGCAAGGCAGACAATGACGATCGTTAATTACATCGAAAGAATAGTGTGGAAAAGCACACTATTATATTTCTCGCACCACTTATTTCCGCTGCATTGCGTGACTGAGAATTTGTTACTGATTAAATGATTAATTTGATCGAATGAAAATAAAGTTCTTCCGTTTTCACGTCAAAACAAGTACCTGGATGTTACTACTCTGTTTGAAATAGAAGCAGAAAAGCAGGCCACCGTACATGTCTTCAGACGACTAGGTGCCTCATAAATATATAACCTGTTTCAGAACACTTGAGTTTGACAGCTGAGAAACATTTGCAAGTCAAAAAGACACAAGGTGTTTGCAAAGTTTACCCTAGGCGGATCTTTATAATTATTGTGCCCATCTAGCAAAACAAAATAAAGCTGTTTTTTTGCGACGAATTTCAGAGAGAAAAAATATCGTCGCTTTCAAATTTTCCCCCTAGATTCTTTGATGTCTGGATTCAAGATAAGCTAAGTACATCATAACAAAAATGTTACATAATAATATGCGAAAATTACTTTTGTTAGGTTTAAAATACAAAATTTTCATCAAATCAAGGCGTAAGTTTTTTGTCTTGTTGTTCATAAGCAGCTAAAGAATTTTAGTCGGAGCGCAATTGAGTAAACAGATGAAAACAGCTTTTTGAAGACCTCCATGATAAGCCGAGTCGAAAGTGAAACTTGTTCCTTTGCGAATGAGCTGAAAGTAAAGATACGACTTACCTACTAGAAAATTAATGCCGGTATTCTTTAAAATCTCCTTTGACAGAAGTTTTAAGGTGTGTTTCCCGTGAACTTTGAAGCTGCTTCTGTTACGAGCTTTCTGAAGAAGTGTCCAGCATGTCCACTGACATCACGTGTACGAGAAAAAAATCGTGGATAAACGTGATAGCGCTCACGATTGGGTTAAAGTAACGTTTATGTAATGGTCACTCTCCTTTAGTTTCTCCTTGACAAACGTTTTAACGTGGGTTTTGACCCGTAAAATTTCAGGCTTGTGTTGAAAAGCTCTCTTATCGCTTGTGAAAGACGCCGGCAAAATAAGTCAGCTGACGTCACATGTTTGATTCTACCTGAATATACGTGCGCGTGGTCACGAGCAGTGTTAACTTTTATGATTGATAAATCACGAGGTTAAAACGAGATATGATCATTTGGATAAACTAAGAGGTTTTTCAAACATGAACTGATTTTCAGACGTTGCGTGTTTCACAGAGGTTATCCTTTGCAGTCGTTCTTTAGCATGTCACGTAACGTTTTCCGCGTGACATCCATGGTGGAATCCATTCCTTTGATTCTGTTCAGGAATAGATTACGGATGACGTCAAAATGTGCTAAGATCAAAAATTGTCACTGATTTTCTCACCACATTTTGACGTCATCTGTGATCTATTATTAAACGGACCAATAGAAACATGGAATCTATTTCTTTTATGTAATAAAAAAGCAAAAATTATGAATGATGACGTCATCTATTTGTCGGTCCTCAAATAGATCATAAGTGAGAACCAATCAAATGCGTTTATAATTCAGCTTTAGCCTTTACACCTTAACATCAGTATGCATATGCTCCCTACTTTTTCTATACAATTCTTAAAGGGCATGTAAACCCAAAAACACATGTTTTTCTTATACTATGTAAAAAGTGGCGTAGAAAACGAATTTGAAATTCGTTTTGTCCTATTCGACTTATTTTAGGAGAAAATCGGCATTTTCAACTGAGATTCCATTTCCGGTAAAAACAATAGCGAGAAGTCGTGACGTAAGCAGTGGAACTAAAATATTGCGCAACACATATTCCCCAGTAGAACTGGTGTGGGAGTTCGTGTAAGCAGCGGTAGTTTGGAAGATGTTTTTTTAGAAGATAGCGACTCGAATGCCTTAAGCTTAGTGCATGACAGCGATGGGGATAATCCAGAATCTTCAGGAGAGTCTGGGCCACGTCCTTAACAATATGAGCCGCGTAGGGTTCACCGAAGCGATCCGCACGAAGAAAGTACAGAACATGTCGACAGCGATGCGACCGTCTCGGAAACTCAGACTGGTATTTAATTTACTGTGTGATTTATTTGTATTTGACACGAAAATCCAATAAAGCGAGGGTGCAATCTAAAAGAATGCAACAGAAATTTTTTAAACTTGAGCTTCTGAGAGTGTTTTACATAAAATTATCAAAGGTGCGAGTGTGGAACTTGTCAACTAATGCAGACAACTCATGAAAGTGTTTGTTATACGGAAATCGGGCAATTGTGGCAAAAAGTAGAGGAGCAAGGGCCTGAAACCCAGATAAGTTGTATCACTGAGCATCCAGGTTTTCAGTCAATTTGCCTTGATTTCTGGGTGCTGAAGACGGCCAATTACGCGTACAGGCAGCAGCAAGGCACAGATAATCACACCGGAAACGAGTAAGCTAAATGTTTTCTGTTTCATCTGTTTTGTTACATTTTGAGATCGATTTGCTTGGGTTGTTTCTGCCATTGATTTAATAATACAGTACAAGAGCTAGTTGTTTTCCGCTTCTTTCCTGGCAGGAAATTTCGCTAAATTGCCTAAAGATAGCTTGTTCGTTAGTGTTAGGAATATCTCGGCAAACACTTCAGGGTCGCTGTGCCATCTTGTGCGGTAAACAATATCCGAAACATTTTTCCAGCGGATTTTGGATCGCCTTACACTGTATTAAAACCGCCAAACCCTTGAGAGAAACAAAGGTATATGTTAATGCAGATCTTAGTTATTTATGTCTTACAGCACTGGAGGTTGTGCCCGTTCTTTATGAGATATTTATGTATTGCTTTCCTTCATCTCCGAAGCATTTCTATCGATAAACAAGTTGTACCATATACATTTCCTTGTGTGGCCTTCATAATTATCCAACCCTGTTTGTGTTTGCTTCTATTTGAAATACTGAAAAGATAGTTTTGCAAGCTGAAATCAGGATCTTTTTAAGTTGTACTAAAAATGATAAATATTGTCCTACTGACCTTTGAATGTATTTTCACTGCTGTGAAAATCGTAACACAAATTCTTCTGCTGTTTCTCTGCAGGGTTTCTCAAAGGAAGCAGAAAGTGGGGCTGGCATGGATTTTCTTATAGAACATAAGGGTTGATTATGGGATCCTGTATAGAATTCTTTGCATCGAACCAACAAAATTCCAGATCACGTTATTACACTGACATCAACGAATTCTCTTTCTTTGAAACGTGTTTCGAATTCAGGCAAAGGATCAGAAGGGTCAGTGTCTTTTATGGGCTCAGCGGTGGCTCCCGAACAACTGGCTTCCCCATAATCTTTCATTAGATGAGAAAAAAGATGTTTTTAGAGAACCAATAAAGCTATCGTTGTTTAATTAACGAAACGTTTTCGTGTAAATCGATTTTGTACTGTCTCCGTTGACCTCTAACTTTTGAAGAGCTTAACTTCTTTCTCAGTTCGGTCGGCCACTTCCGAATCCTCGTCGTCTACCGACTGTATGGGTCGTTTTTATACTTCCGAATAATTTGCTTCTAGTAAGGCTTGAATCGTCGGTACAGCACCAGGAAGAAAAATGACTGCCACAAACAACAGAATGTTCGAACGGCTCGACGAAATCGGCTATTTTCACTTGAACAAATTTCACAAATTGTCACTTCAAATTTGCCTCATTTGGAAATATTTGCATAGTATGCCCAATTTTGTTTGAATCAGTACAAAACTGGACGACACAACGCTTTACCATTACGAAAAAATTGAATATATTGAAACAAACTGTAAGTGAAAAAATCATGACGATGATGGTCCACCCGTGACGTCACAGGAAGATGGCGCCATTCAAGATGGCGAATGTTTCGAATTTGGAAGAGCTTTTATAAAGTGAAAATCGACTTTTGAGAAAAAACGAATGGTACCTTTGGTGTACTTGATATATTTACTAAACATCTATGTGAAAAGAAAATGAATGTTTTTTGGGTTTACATGCCCTTCAAGGTTATGAAAAGGAGAATTTGTTTCACAATCAAGAGCTTCTTTAGTTGTTGATCATGTCTCTTATTCTTAATTTATAATAATTCATGGCTGGTTGGTGCGAAGAAAACTGACTTTCGGGCTATTTCTGCTAGTCTTCTATTTCTGTCGCTGAATATCTATCAACTCGCTACAAGTCATTGACTGTGGGAAACGCTATGGACACAATCTGGTATGTAAATTTGTTTTAAAACACAAAACTCTCCGAAATCTTTTGTTTTATCGGCATAACTAATCGATCAAAAATAAGCTAAGTAAAATGATTATGCGCTAGAGCGCTAAGAGGGTCTCAATGGTTTAATTGTTAGCCGTAAAACAGCTAAATAATTTAACCGTAAGGCGTAAAAATTGGAAAATTTTGATCGTAAGTCGTAAAAAAAAATAAATGCAAAGATTTTCTCTTTCTACAATGTGCCATTTGGGTTAACCGTTAACTGTAAAATGGCCAAAATCCTAACCGTTGGCCGTAAAAGTCATCCCCACATTGCCACTATGTGTCACGTTCGGGTTCTTCCAGTGTCATGAACTTGGGTTTCCTGTTCGCTAACTTAGTCGAAAAACTAAAAAACTGGCAACTTTTACTTGATGATTAATTATAATCCCTCTTCAAACTAAAACTCAAGCTGAGGGGTAGGTTCAGTCTGCCGTCATATGCACCAGTATTTTTCTCTCCCCCGTGAAAGCCATTCGTCCATGCTGAACGTTCAGATTATCAAGCGCTATCAAATCACCCTTCTTCCACCGAAATCCAGTTGCGCATGACCATGAAACTGCTCTGATGTGTTGTAACACTTCCGGCTCGATGTCACTTCCGTCTCCATAATAGGTGTGACAGGGATATTTCTCATCCGGGAGATCATAACCTTTGTAGTGTGGCAGTGCTTTCGTGTAAGTACAGTGGTGAGTTGTTATTTGGTTGAACCAGAGTTTTTCTCCTGTTACTGGGTGAGAAAGAAAGGCCGGCGCGGTGTAAGTCAGGTACATATCACCGTTATCGTCCCATCTTACAGTGTTACCTCGCTGCTGTGCCCTTATTTCTGCTGCCTAAAAGAGTAAATAAGGTCATCAGTGAACATTCTATACCCGGGTTCGAGATTGATAATCGTCATTTCCTTTTGAAATCTCCACTATTTTTTTTTGTCTTTAAAAGCCAATCAATTCTGACATGGGATTCCTGATGTGAACCAAGTTGTATTACCTTTCTGTCGTCAGTGTAAAACTGATGCTGCCAGGGCATGTAGTCTGATCGTGATTTGTCCGGCAGATAGCGTACATACGTGACTCCTTTTACCCCGAGCTTTTTCACGACTTCGGGGTCAAGTTTGGATACAATGTCGCTGCATCTAGCCAAAGGAGTCTCGCCACCACAACCCTCGCCAGGCTCTTTTAGGCAGAAAAAGAAAATCTGAAAAAGATAATAGAAGGATAAAAGCATGGAAGAATCAACGAGTGGACGAGTGAAAAAATAATCGTATAAGCGAATAAACCAATGAACCTGTGAAACAATGAAGAAAAGAACTAATGGACTAATGATGAACGAATGGGTAAGTGAGAGGATTACCAAATGAACGGGTGAACAGGGGATCCAGTGAACAAGTGATCAAGTGAACAAGTGAACAAGTGAACAAGTGAACAAGTGAACAAGTGAACAAGTGAACAAGTGAACAAGTGAACAAGTGAACAAGTGAACAAGTGAACAAGTGAACAAGTGAACAAGTGAACAAGTGAACAAGTGAACAAGTGAACAAGTGAACAAGTGAACAAGTGAACAAGTGAACAAGTGAACAAGTGAACAAGTGAACAAGTGAACAAGTGAACAAGTGAACAAGTGAACAAGTGAACAAGTGAACAAACAAGAACAAGTGAACAAGTGAACAAGTGAACAAGTGAACAAGAACAAGTGAACAAGTGAACAAAACAAGTGAACAAGTGAACAAGTGAACAAGTGAACAAGTGAACAAGTGAACAAGTGAACAAGTGAACAAGTGAACAAGTGAACAAGTGAACAAGTGAACAAGTGAACAAGTGAACAAGTGAACAAGTGAACAAGTGAACAAGTGAACAAGTGAACAAGTGAACAAGTGAACAAGTGAACAAGTGAACAAGTGAACAAGTGAACAAGTGAACAAGTGAACAAGTGAACAAGTGAACAAGTGAACAAGTGAACAAGTGAACAAGTGAACAAGTGAACAAGTGAACAAGTGAACAAGTGAACAAGTGAACAAGTGAACAAGTAAACAAGTGAACAAGAACAACAAGTGAACAAGTGAACAAGTGAACAAGTGAACAAGTGAACAAGTGAACAAGTGAACAAGTGAACAAGTGAACAAGTGAACAAGTGAACAAGTGAACAAGTGAACAAGTGAACAAGTGAACAAGTGAACAAGTGAACAAGTGAACAAGTGAACAAGTGAACAAGTGAACAAGTGAACAAGTGAACAAGTGAACAAGTGAACAAACAAGTGAACAAGTGAACAAGTGAACAAGTGAACAAGTGAACAAGTGAACAAGTGAACAAGTGAACAAGTGAACAAGTGAACAAGTGAACAAGTGAACAAGTGAACAAGTGAACAAGTGAACAAGTGAACAAGTGAACAAGTGAACAAGTGAACAAGTGAACAAGTGAACAAGTGAACAAGTGAACAAGTGAACAAGTGAACAAGTGAACAAGTGAACAAGTGAACAAGTGAACAAGTGAACAAGTGAACAAGTGAACAAGTGAACAAGTGGGCTAGAACAAGTGAACAAGTGAATGAACGAAAGAACAAGAAAACGAGACAACAAATGAACGAATGAACGAAGAACATGGGGGAACGAACTGATTAAGGGAGCAAGTAAACCAAAGTTCAAGTAAACTTATCCACGAATGAATGAATGTATGGATCAGCAAAAGAACTAATGAATTAGTGATAGCGCATCATAAACCTGGTGACGGATTGGGGTGGTGTGGGGCGCCCACAAAATACCTCGGCACCTCAGCATAAGTCATCTTTATTTCATTCTAGACATACCTTCCTAGGGAAATTCTTGACATACGTCATTTCATTGTGTAATTCGATGGTGTACTCTCCGGGCTCGGTACTGGCAAAGTAGATGCCAGAGTTTTGCAATTCCTCGGGTCTGGGTGTGGTACCACCTTCGTAGTTTATAGGCTTGCCTCGCATTCCTTGGGTTAAGGCCAAGAAGTCCTCTGCTGTTTCAGCTGGTAGTCCGCGGAACAATATCGCCTGGCTATTAGTAAGCTTCTTCTTTATATATTCCATGCAATGTGCACCCAGTTCTGAGAGAGAGGACTTGTCTCCAGTATTGACTCGCACACCGACCGGGAAAGAGTCACTTGGCTCTGCCAAGAACTCTGGGAATCCTTCACCCGTTGAGCCTGGGAGAAACTCCCTGTCTCGCAGCCGTGGTCTGGTTTTCGGTGCCAGCTCCTCTTTAGGAATTTGCTCAAAAATGCTGCCTGTTACTGAACTTGTTTTTGTAGACAAGACATTAGAAGTGGCATGTTTGATCGGCCTGATATGACAGAACCGAGATGACTGCCTCCAGGCCAACGTAGAGACAAACGTTAACATAACCTGTTTGATGAAATGATATTTATTGGTTCAAAAGTAGCCGTTGAGTCATTGCGTTATTGGCTTTCTTAGAATCTCCTATTATGCGTACGTAAATGTTGCCGTTAAGTCGGGGGTCACGAAAGCTAAGACCTAAGACACAGCATGAAATTATAAATTTACGAATCCGTAAAGATGCCGTAAAGAAAGCGTTAAGATCCTCTTTACGGGTCTTTACGAACTTCTTTGCACTCTCGTAAAGAATGTCTTTACGCATTGAAAACGATAGTGCGTAAAGATCACGGTGAGAGACTAAAAACGTTATCTTTACGTGCCTTGTAAAAAGTCGCATAGAGAATATTTACGATATTTTACGGCGACTGTAAAGCGATCAGAAAGGCGATCTACACGCGTTGCTAAACTATCGTAAATGGGCAATATTTACATGCCCATTTGCCATTTTCCAGCTGTCTGAATCTTTTGGCAACATTCCCTTTTGCTAATCAGACTATAACGAATGCGAGCTCGTGACAACATCAATGTAATGCGCTATCCTAGCGCGTATTGCCAAAAGTCGTATTGAGAACGTTTGCCATATTTTACGCTTCTGTAAAACGATGCCTAAATGCCTTTCAAGGACTGATCCATATATAACAACTCGTGTTTTACACATTGCAATTTATTTTATTGTCATCACTCTTTAACTTGATTTTGTAATTTTCACAGTAACGTAGCAAGAGGTTTATATACACAGGATAAGAACTGAAAAATACAAATATCATAAATATAAATATTTTTACATAGATATACAAAATGTCTCATTGGTTTCGCACAGCTTGTAGGCACATGAACCTTTGAGTTACCTCTCTTTGATTTCGTTTCCTTGCTGCCCGAGTTTTTCTCGGCGACAAGTTTACACAAAGAGTCCACTTTGTTTGAAAGCTCTTCGAACTTTAAGGCATTTTGTTCATCGCGCTGCCTCAATTGTTCTCTTAATGATTGGCTTTCTTTCAAAGAATCGTCCAGTAGCAAAGTAAAACTGTCGCTCACGCTGATGTGGTCGAAAATTCCTGACATTTTGAAAGAAAAAGAGTTCACAGATCACTTCACACGCCAAAACCAGGAATAAAGGCCGGAAATTCTTGACATTTTGAAAGAAAAAGAGTCCACAGATCACTTCACACGCCAAAAGTAAAGCCAGGAGTAATCGAAAACGACGCCAAAAGGACGCTACTATTCGCGCCATGAATACAAATATATGATGTCTCACCTTCTAATAGGCTCATTGCAGTCTCGTGAACACGATCCTTTATCAAACAGTACCGAACTTGTCGGAAGAATCGTCCGAATTAAAGACGTAATTTAGTGTTAACAACTGAGTTGAAAACGTAAATTGGCCACCGTAAAGAGTTAAAAGGCTGACGTTTCGAGCGTTAGACCTTCGTCAGAGCGATTAACGAGGAGATAGCTAGTTGGTCATTCTTACAATTGCGTCACTGGCAATGTGAGACTACTGCGCGAACGCAAGGGTAGACATCTTGTCGATGTGTTAGTGGCTTTATTATGGTTGGTTCTAATATATACCGGTAATATCCAAAAACATGAAAGTTCGTGTGTATAGACGAATGAAATCACGAATTACGCCGTTATCTTAACGCCGAACCCGACCAAGGTGCGAACCTGACTTGTGATACAGTAGAACTCCGACTCTGAAACTACTGAGTGCTCGCTTTAAGGCGCGTGTACTCTAACTGCCAACCCAAACTCTAACTGCAAATCCGCATTTCGTTTAAACCTAACCAGACACTGGTAATTTGAAAAGCACAGTGTTTTCAAAACAGCGTCAATAACACTTAAAAGACGTGAGAGAACAAGCCGATTCCTGTGAAATGGCTTCAGTTACAAAACTATGTCCTTCCGAAGGGAAATTGTTCACTCGTATCGCGTCCGCCCTCCAATCAGATTACAAAATCACTTTTTGGTTTACATATCAAAAGAAACTCATGAAAACAAAAATAATTAACTTAAACCAACCGGCTGAATAACGGCTCTCCTTCTATCTGTCCTCGGACATAGGAAAGACTGTTATCCACTCCAAATCGGTTTCAAATATGAATCTAATTTGCCAGCATAACACCTATGGATATTGCGTGACATTAGGAACAAAAGGATCCAACTGCCGCTTAGGGCTGGTTCTCAGGTGCGATGCAAATGAGATGTTACTTAAAGCGAATGGCAAACGTGGAATGGAACTTATGGAATAAGAAATATGGAATAGGGAATGGAGAATGAGGAATGGGAAAATAAAATGGGAACTGATAATGGTAAATTCATTTTTTCCTCGTAGATTTACTGTTTTTGAGAGGGAATAATTTTGGTTATGGTTCATCAAATATTTTTCGTCGCGCGTGATTGGTCTAAACGCATCACGTGACCAACTATCCTCCTGAAACAGGGGCACGCACGAGGATATACCTCAAGTGATATTCCCTGATTTTCAAGCTCTACGTCCATTACGATAAGTCTTCGTAGGTCTTTCATTATTTTCAACAGATTTAATTTGACCTATCACTTGTTACCGAAAAAAATGAAATTTGGTTTTGTAACATTCTTTAGCTGCACGTATCATTTCTTTCGTTATCATTAATTATTCCGTCCCTTAAATTTTGCCTCTGAACGTTTTTGAAAGAAAGTTTGAATATCGATTATCAACGCTAATAAATATCTATTCTCGCATTATAAACATTAAATCTCCAAAAAAAGTAATTTCCCATTTTTAATTTCCCATTTTATTTTCCCATTCACCATTCCCCATTCCTCATTCCTCATTTTTGCTTTCAGTTACATCCGATGCAAATGTTATAGTAATCAACTGATACTCACGGCAAAACTTTTTGTCTACAAATGCAAATTGAATGATTAAGATCCGTCATTTGACCCTTTAACTCCCAAGAATGACCAAGACAGAATTTCTCCTCACAATATTAATACATTATCAAGCAGACAAGTCATGAGAATAAAGAAAAACATTAATTAGGGGATTACTAGTTGATCCAATACCAAATTCTCCAAACTAAAATCACAAGAACTATATGGCAGACAGTAAGGAGAATTACCAATGAGATCTTGGGAGTTAAAGGGTTAACATATTCGTAATCAAAGTGAAAACAATCTTTGACACAGAGCGATGAACAGCAACAACAAAAATAAGATGAATAAAACTTTTATATTGTGTTCGCAATTCTCTAATAGTTTTTACTTATGAACTTCTTTCTTAAACCAAATGTACTTGTAGTGTTTTTTGTTTTAATATCATGGTTATATATATATGATAATCCTACTGTAATTATCCAAGTGTAGCGATGTGGAGCTGTTTTGTTCCATGTTTTCTGTATATCTTTTTCTTCTTTATTACTGCCAAATTGTAAATATTTTAAAATTTGTGTAATATTTTTCGAGAAAGAAACAAAAATACTTCAATACAACAAAAAAGGTCGATGCAAATGCAAGGAAACACACGTGTAAACTGCCCTGACCAAAATGAAAAACGCAAACGCAAGCAAAATGATGAAGCAATAATTGAACAACAACAACAACAACTTTATTTTTTTCACCCCAAAATATACAAGAAAGAAAAATTTATAATAATAGTACAGACAATGATAGGGGCGCTGGCTGCCCGAAATAACCTAAGAGTTAAAAATGCAAAGCAATGAGCGAATAAGCGAATGAAGAAATGGACGTATGAACAAACGGATGGAAGAATTTCCAATTGAACACACGGAGGAGGATTCTGGACTAACATGATGCTTAGCCTTCATTCCATGTATCGTTATTTTATGCTATTTGATCACACTGTCATACCATTAGGTCATTCTTCCATACCATTGAGTCATACCTTCATTCCATTAGATCGTATCTCCATGCCATTTGATCATGTCTGCATGATATTAAATCGTTTCCATGCAATTCTACTGAAACTGTTTACCATTAGATCATACTTCTATGCCACTGAATCATACCTCCATGCCGTTAGATCGTATCTCTATGCTATTTGACTGTAACTGTATGCCATTAGATCGGGCCACAATCAATGTGATTCGATCTTATCTGTATGCCATTCGATCGTTCCTCGATGTCATTTGATCCGACCACCGAGGCAAAACACCGATTTAAGTGACTGGGTTCGATGTTACCTAAATACTGAGATACATTACTGAAATTTAATTTTTAGAGTTAATGGAACCTACTGGGAAGAGTCGTGGAAGATGGATGGATCAACACCCCGTTCTAGAGGGGTACTCTTCGCGAGGAGGACCACAATTCTAAGAAAAGTGTTACTGAAGAGAATTAAGAAACCTGGCCGTGGGGAATCAGAGTTCCTCTCAAACAACAACAGCTATATGGCAGAGGATTTTAGGTTTTTCACGTCCGCAGGGTCCTTATAAACTAACTTGGCTTGCACAGTGTTTTTCGTCACCAGTTGTTGCAAGACCTCGAATTCAAAACATCCTCCAAATCTATTTCCAGTTTCAAAAGACAAAATTTAATCTTATCAAATTTTAGCCCAGAACCCCCCTCCATAATAAATTGAATCACATTGGCATTGCAAAACAATCTAATGGCATACAGTTATGATCGAATGATGTAAAGATACAACTAATGATATAGAGGTATGAGACAATGTCATAGAGGAAAGATCCAGTGGTATACATTTATAATAATTCATGACTGATAGGTGCGAAGAAAACTGACTTTCTCGCTATTTCTGCTATTCTCCTACTTCCGCCTCTGAATATATATCAACTCGTTACAAGTCATTAACTATGGGAAACGCTATGGACACAATCTGGTATGTAAATTTGTTTTAAAACACAAAACTCTCCGAGGTCTTTCGTTTTATCGGCATTACTGATCGATCAAAAATAAGCTAAATCAAATGATTATGCGCCAGAGCGCTAAGAGGTCTCGATGGTTTAACCGTTAGCCGTAAAACAGCTAAACAATTTAATCGTAAGGCATAAAAATTGACAAATTTTGATCGAAAGTCGTTAAAAAAAAATAACTACAAAAATTTTCTCTTTCTAACTTCTTTCTCTCTGGATTAACCGTTAGCTGTAAAATGGCCAAAATCCTAACCGTTAGCCGTAAAAGTCATCCCCCCATTGCCGCTATGTGTCACGTTCGGGTTCGTTCAGTGTCATGAACTTGGGTTTCCTGTGCGCTAACTTAGTCGAAAAACTAAAAAACTGGTAACTTTTAATTGATGATTAATTATAATCCCTCTTCAAACTAAAACTCAAGGTGAAGGGTAGGTTCAGTCTGCCGTCATATGCACCAGTAATTTTCTCTCTCCCGTGAAGGCCATTCGTCCATGCTGAACGTTCAGATTATCAAGCACTATTAAATCACCCTTCTTCCACCGAAACCCAACTGCGCATGACCATGAAACTGCTCTAATGTGTTGTAACACTTCTGGTTCGATGTCACTTCCGTCTCCATAATAGGTGTGACAGGGATATTTCTCATCCGGGAGATCAGAACCTTTGTACTGTGGCAGTGCTTTTGAGTAAGTACAGTGGTAACTTGTTACTTGGTTGAACCAGAGTTTTTCTCCTGTTACTGAGTGAGAAAGAAAGGCCGGCGCGGTGTAAGTCAAGTACATATCACCGTTATCGTCCCATCTTACAGTGTTACCTCGCTGCTGTGCTCTTATTTCTGCTGCCTAAAAGAGTAAATAAGGTCATCAATGTAAATTCAATAACCGGGTTCGAGACTGAAAATCGTCATTTTCTTTTGAAATCTCCTCAATTTGTTTTTGTCTTTAAAGGACAATCAATTCTTACATGGGATTCCTGATGTGAACCAAGTTGTATTACCTTTCTGTCGTCAGTGTAAAACTGATGCTGCCAGGGCATGTAGTCTGACCGTGATTTATCCGGTAGATGTCGTATATACATAACTCCTTTTGCCTCGAACTTTTTTACGACTTCGGAATCAAGTTTGGATACAATGTCGCTGCATTTAGCCAAAGGAGTCTCGCCAGGCTCTTTTAGGCAAAAAAAGAAAATCTGTGGAGGATGAATTAATCCATGGGGAAAATTAATAGACGGATAAAAGAATGGAAGAATCAACGAGTGGACAAATAAAAAAATAATCGTATTAGTGAACAAACCAAATGAACTTGTGAAGCAATGAAGCAAAGAACCAATTGACTGATGAAGCAATAATCAAAAGGGTAAATGAGAGGATTAGCAAATGAACGGGTGAACAAGAGAACGAATAAACGAATGAATGGGTAAATGATTGAACAGATGGGAGAACGAACTGATTAAGGGAGCAAATAAACCAAAGTACGAGTAAACTCATCCACGAATGAATGAATGTATGGATGAGCGAAAGAACTACTGAATTAGTGATAGCGCATCATAAACCTGGTGACTGAGTGGGGTGGTGAGGAGTGCCCTCAAAATACCCTGGTGTCTCAGCATTATTAGTCTGTGTTTTAGTCTAAAAATACCTTCTTGGGGAAAGTCTTGAGATATGGCATTTCATTATGTAACTCGATGGTGTACGCTCCAGGTTCAGCACTGGAAAAGTAGATGTCAGAATTTTTCAATTCCCTGGGTCTGGGTACAGCACCACCCTCGTAGCTCAGAGGCTTGCCTCGCATTCCTTGGGTTAAGGCCAAGAAGTCCTGTGCTGTTTCAGCTGGAATTCCGCGGAACAATATCGCCTGCCTATCGGTAAGGTTCTTCTTTATGTACTCCATACAATTTGCACCCATTTCTGAGAGTGAGGACTGGTCTCTAGTTTTGACGCGCACTCCGTGCGGGAAAGAGTCACTTGGCTCTGCCAAGTACTCTGGGAATCCGTCACCCGTTGAGCCTGGGAGAAACTCCCTGTTTCGCAGCCGTGGTCTGGTTTTCGGTGCCAGCTCCTCTTTAGGAATTCGCTCAAAAATGCTGCCTGTTACTGAACTTGTTTTTGTAGACAAGACATTAGAAGTGGCATGTTTGATCGGCCTGATATGACAGAACCGAGATGACTGCCTCCAGGCCAATGTAAAGACAAACGTTGACATAACCTGTTTGATGAAAATGATATTTATTGGTTCAAAAGTAGCTGTTAAGTCGTTGCGTTATTGGCTATCTTAGAATCTCCTATTATACGTACGCAAATGTAGCCATTAAGTCGAGTGTCACGAAAGCTAAGACCTAAGACACAGCATGAACTGATAAATTTACGAATCCGTTAAGATGCCGTGAAGAAAGCGTTAAGATCCTCTTTACGCGTCTTTACGAACTTCTTTATACTCTCGTAAAGAATGTCTTTACGCATTGAAAACGATAGAACGTAAAGATCACGGAGAGAGACTAAAAACGTTATCTTTACGTGCCTTGTAAAAAGTCGCAGAGAGAATATTTACGATATTTTACGGCGACTGTAAAGCGATCAGAAAGGCGATCTTTACGCGTTATTAAACTATCGTTTACATGCCCATTCGCCATTTTCCAGCTGACTGAATTTTTTGGCAACATTCCCTTTTGCTAATAAGACTATAACGAATGCGAGCTCGTGACAACATCAACGTAATGCGCTATCCTAGCGCGTATTGCCAAAAGTCGTATTGAGAAAGTTTGCGATATTTTGCGCTTCTGTAAAACGATGCCGCACATGCCTTTCAAGGACTGATCCATATATAACAACTCGTGTTTTACACATTGCAATTAATTTTATTGTCATAACTCTTTAACTTGATTTTGTAATTTTCACAGTAACGTAACAAGAGGTTTATATACACAGGATAAGAACTGAAAAATACAAATATCATAAATATAAATATTGTTACATAGATATACAAAATGTCTCATTGGTTTCGCACAGCTTGTAGGCACAAGAACCTTTGAGTTACCTTTCTTTGATTTAGTTTCCTTGCTGCCCGAGTTTTTCTCGGCGACAAGTTTACACAAAGAGTCCACTTTGTTTGAAAGCTCTTCGAACTTTAGGGCATTTTGTTCATCGCGCTGCCTCAATTGTTCTCTTAATGATTGGCTTTCTTTCAAAGAATCGTCCAGTAGCAAAGTAAAACTGTCGCTCACGCTGATGTGGTCTGAAATTCTTGACATTTTGAAAGAAAAAGAGTTCACAGATCTACAGCGCTAGTAACACTTAAAAGATATGAGAGAACAAGCCGATTCCTGTAAAATGGCTTCAGTTACAAAACTATGTCCTTCCGAAGGGAAATTGTTCACTCGTATCGCGTCCACCCTCCACCCAGATTACAAAATCACTTTTTGGTTCACATATCACAAGAAACTCATGAAAACAAAAATAATTAGCTTAAACCAACCGGCTGAATAACGGCTCTCCTTCTATCTGTCCTCGGACACAGGCAAGACTGTTATCCACTCCAAATCCGTTTCAAATATGCATCTAATTTGCCAGCATAACACCTATGGATATTAGGGCTGGTTTTGAAGTGCGATGCAAATGAGATGTTACTAAAAGCGAATGGCAAACGAAGAATGGAACTTATGGAATAAGAAATATGGAATAGGGAATGGAGAATGAGGAATGGGAAAATAAAATGGGAACTGATAATGGTAAATTCATTTTTTCCTCGTAGATTTACTGTTTTTGAGAGGGAATAATTTTGGTTATGGTTCATCAAATATTTTTCGTCGCGCGTGATTGGTCTAAACGCATCATGTGACCAACTAGCCACCTGAAACAGGGGCACGCACGAGGATATACCTCAAGTGATATTCCCTGAATTTCAAGCTCTACGTCCATTACGATAAGCCTTCGTTTAAAATTTTTTAATTTTCAGAGAAACATCAAAATAGGTCTTTCATTATTCTCAACAGATTTAATTTGACCTATCACTTGTTATCGAAAAATGAAATTTGGTTTTGTAACATTCTTTAGCTGTCACGTATCATTTCTTTCGTTATTGTGTTCGCAATTCTCTAATAGTTTTTACTTATGAACTTCTTTCTTAAACCAAATGTACTTGTAGTGTTTTTTGTTTTAATGTCATGGTTATATATATATGATTATCCTACTGTAATTATCCAAGTGTAGCGTTGTGGAGCTGTTTTGTTCCATGTTTTCTCTTTATTACTGTCAAATTTTTAAATATTTTAAAATTTGTGTAATGTTTTTCGAGAAACAACAAAAATACTTCAATACAGCAAAAAAGGTCGATGCAAATGCAAGGAAACACACGTGTAAACTGCCCTGACCAAAATGAAAAACGCAAACGCAAGCAAAATAATGAAGCAATAATTGAATAAAGCAATGAGCGAATAAGCGAATGAAGAAATGGACGTATGAACAAACGGATGGAAGAATTTACAATAGAACACATGGAGGAGGATTCTGGACTAACATGATGCTTAGCCTTCATTCCATGTATCGTTATCATTTCTTGCTATTGGATCACACTGTCATACCATTAGATCATTCTTCCATACCATTGAGTCATACCTTCATATTCCATTAGATCGTATCTCCATGCCATTGGATCATATCTGTATGATATTAAATCGTATTTCCATGCAATTCTACTGAAACTGTTTACCATTAGATCGTACTTCCATGCCACTGAATCATACCTCCATGCCGTTAGATCGTATCTCTATGCTATTTGACTGTAGCTGTATGCCATTAGATCGGGCCACAATCAATGGGATTCGATCTTATCCGTATGCCATTCGATCGTTCCCGGATGTCATTTGATCGCGCATCATATTTGATCCGACCACCGAGGCAAAACACCGATTTGAGTGACTGGGTTCGATGTTACCTAAATACTGTGATACATTACTGAAATTTAATTTTTAGAGTTAATGGAACCTACTGGGAAGAGTCGTGGAAGATGGATGGATCAACACCCCGTTCTAGAGGGATACTCTTCGCGAGGAGGACCACAATTCTAAGAAAAGTGTTACTGAAGAGAATTAAAAAACCCGGCCGTGGGGAATGAGAGTTCCTCTCAAACAACAACAACTATATGGCAGAGGATTTTAGGTTTTTCACGTCCGCAGGATCCATATAAACTAACTTGGCTTGCACAGTGTTTTTCGTCACCAGTTGTTGCAAGACCTCGAATTCAAAACATCCTCCAAATCTATTTCCAGTTTCAAAAGACAAAATTTAATCTTATCAAATTTTAGCCCAGAATCCCCCTCCATAAAGAATATTGAATCACATTGGCATTGCAAAACAATCTAATGGCATACAGTTATGATCGAATGATGTAAAGATACAACTAATGACATAGAGGTATAAGACAATGTCATAGAGGAAAGATCCAATGGTATACAGCAGTTACGGTCAAATGGGAGGAAAGGATGTTTCAATGGTATGACAATACAATAAAAAGCTATGATGGTACAATCCGTTGGCGCGGAGAAAACATTAAGATGGAATGAAGGCTAACAAAAGATACCCTTAATTTGTTTCAATTAATTTCCGGTTAGATGTCACTTCCGTCTCCATAATAGGTGTGATGGGGATATTTCTCATCCGGAAGATCAGAACCTTTGTACTGTGGCAGTGCTTTCAAGTAAGTACAGTGGTAACTTGTTGCTTGGTTGAACCAGGTTTTTTCTCCTGTTACTGGGTTGAAAGGCTGGCGCGGTGTAAGTCAGGTACATATCACCGTTATCGTCCCATCTTACAAGGTTACCTCGCTGCTGTGCTCTTATTTCTGCTGCCTAAAAGAGTAAATAAAGTCATCAGTGTAAATTCAATAACCAGAGACCGAAAATCGTCATTTTTTTTTAAATCTCCACACTTTTTTTATCTTTAAAGGACAATCAATTCTTACATGGGATTCCTGACGTGAACCAAGTTGTATTACCTTTCTGTCGTCAGTGTAAAACTGATGCTGCCAGGGCATGTAGTCTGATCGTGATTTGTCCGGCAGATATCGTACATACATGACTCCTTTTACGTCGAACTTTTTTACGACTTCGGGATCAAGTTTGGATACAATGTCGCTGCATTTAGCCAAAGGAGTCTCGCCACCACAACTCTCGCCAGGCTCTTTTAGGCAAAAAAGGAAAATCTGTGGAGGATGAATTAGTCCATGGGAAAAATTAATAGACGGATAAAAGAATGGACGAATCAACGAATGGACAAATAAAAAAAATAATCGTATTAATGAACAAACCATGAATGACCAATGAACCTGTGAAGCAATGAAGCAAAGAACCGATTGATTAATGAAGAAATGATCGGAAGGATAAATGAGAGGATTAGCAAATGAACGGGTGAACAAGAGAACATGTAAATAAATGACAAAGAGAACGAATAAACGAATGAATGGGTAAACGATTGAACAGATGGGAGAACGAACTGATTAAGGAAGCAAATAAACCAAAGTACGAGTAAACTTATCCACGAATGAATGAATGTATGGATGAGCGAAAGAACTACTGAATTAGTGATAGCGCATCATAAACCTGGTGACTGAGTGGGGTGGTGAGGAGCGCCCAGAAACACCCTGGCGTCTCAGCATTATTAGTCTGTCTTTTAGTCTAAAAATACCTTCTTGGGGAAAGTCTTGAAATACGCCATTTCATTGTGCAACTCGATGGTGTACGTTCCAGGTTCAGCACTGGCAAAGTAGATGTCAGAATTTTTCAGTTCCTTAGGTCTGGGTCCAGCACCACCCTCGTAGTTCAGAGGCTTGCCTCGCATTCCTTGGGTTAAGGCCAAGAAGTCCCCTGCTGTTTCAGCTGGAAGTCCGCGGAACAATATTGCCTGGCTATCAGTAAGGTTCTCCTTTATGTATTTCATGCAATTTGCACCCAGTTCTGAGATAGAGGACTGGTCTCTAGTATTGACGCGCACTCCGTGAGGGAAAGAGTCACTTGGCTCCGCCAAGAACTCTGGGAATCCTTCACCCGTTGAGCCTGGGAGAAACTCCCTGTCTCGCAGCCGTGGTCTGGTTTTCGGTTCCAGCTCCGCTTTAGGAATTCGCTCAAAAATGCTGCCTGTTACTGAACTTGTTTTAGTAGACAAGAAATAGGAGGTGGCCAGTTTTATCGGACTGAGATGGCTGAGACGAGTTGACTGCCTCCAGGCCGATGTTAAGACAAACGTTGACATGATTTGTTCGATAAAAATGATATATATTGGTTCAAAAGTAGCCGTTAAGTCGTTGTGTTCTTGGCTATTTCAGAATCTTCTATTATGGCGACGCAAATGTAGCCGTTAAGTCATTACTTTACTGATTGTGTGAGATTCTCCTATTAAAACAACGCAAAGGTAGCCGTTAAGTCATTGCGTTACTGGCTCTCTGGGACTCTCCTATTATACAGACCCAGAGGTGGTCATGATGTCATTGCGTGACCCGCTCTCTCACAATCGCACAGGTTGTAGTCTACGTGAAGCCGCACCCTCCTTCCCCCCCTCAAAAGATACGGAGGAACGTTTACGCAAACCTGACATTAATCGTGTTCCGTGACGTCAATCGTTTGCAAGAAAATAGATAATGACTTTTTATTGGTTAACCCCCTTTGTCGATTCTTTCGTCAATACTGATTGGCTAAAGATGGTAATTTATTTCCATACTAACGAACAAGATGGTGAACAAAATACTTTCATGGTCAACTTTTCAGACAACAGCGATCTACCACGAGGTTTTAAGTTTGCGCAACTTTTGGGATAGAGAAATTTTAAGAAGAACAGCAGAAAGCCATACATAAGTTTTCCTCTTAGGCCAAGAGGATTGTCCGCCTTCAACTTCGGTCTCAGTGAACGGTGCTGCCAAGCTATTAAATTAAAGCTTGTTGTTTCTTGCAGCGATTCTTTGGACTGAGGAAAGAGTCGCTCTTTCTTCACGCTTGCAGCGTAACTATCTCTTAAAGAAATGTGTAAAAACCTTAAGATTCTGCGGCAAATGATCTAACTTTTTTGGACGACCGTTACACTGTTTACAAATGCAAGCAGAAACCGCGTGAACGTTGAAATCTAGTTTCGTAGGCGCTATGCTAATTTAACATTGGTCCCCTTCTTACTCTATATAAAAAATCGCTCATAATCTTTTCCTATATCATTAAAGCAAAGTATATATGTGAACTCGGACGCTGAATTGCAAATTTACCCGAAAAATGAAAAATGAATTCACTATAATGCTGTTGTTTATCTTGATCACCTTCACGCTAACTCGTGCCACTTCGCAAAAAACATCAAGTGACATTATTTTGCGTGAAGAGAGTGACGTCACAGAACACGATTAGTGATAGGTTTACAAATGATATATAATATCCAAAAATGAAATCCTTTTATGTAGAGAAGAATGAAATCATGAATTACACCATTACTTGACCCGAATGCGAACTTGATTCGTGATACATTATAACTCCGACTCTGAAACTACTGCGTGCTCGCTTTGAGGCCTAGGTTTAATCCACATTTCGTTTGATAAACCAAACCAGACACTGGCGATTTGACAAGCACAATGTTTTAACTCTTAAAAGAAGTGAGAGAACTAGCCGATCCCTTTAAAATGGCTCTAGTTACAAAACTGCGTCCTTTCGAAAGGAAATTATTCACTCGTATCACGTTCGCCCCTCTACCCAGATTACAAAATCACTCTTTGGTTTACATATCACAAGTAACTCACGAAAACAAAAATAATTAACTTTAACCAACCTGCTGAAAAACGGCTCTCAATCGGACAAGGGCAAACTGTTCTCCACTCCAAATCCGTTGCAGATATGCATCTAATTCGCCAGCCTAACGACTGTGGATATTGCGTGACATTACGATCAGAATGATCGATCAAACAGCTGCTAATGGTTGGTTCTCAAGTGCGATGTCACTAAAAGCGAATGGCAAATAAAGAATGGAACGTATGGAATGGGGAATGTGGAATCGGAAACGGGGAATTAGGAATGGCAAAATAAGATGAGAATTGAAAATGGTAAATTCACTTTTTTGGTAGATTTACTGTTTATGAGAAGGGAATAATTTTGGTTATAATTTATCAAATATTTTTCGTCGCGTGTGATTGGTCTAAACGCTTCATTTGACCAACTATCCTCCACCTGAAACTGGGACGTGCACGAGAATATACCTCAAGTAATATTCCCTAACTTTCAAGCTCTTTGTCCATTACGATAAGTCTTCGTTTAAAACTTGAGTTTAAATTTAAGGTAATTTTGTGGTTGTTAATAGTTCGTAAACACTTTTTTCCCCGTAAGTTACAAACATATTTGTAGGATAATAAACACAGTAGCCTCTATTTGGCACGAAAATATACCTGTTGATCACATTTCAAGGACGAAATTACTCGTGTCTGCGGGAAACCCCCGGAAGTTCAGGAGTTGGCCTCACGCTTGCCACCAATATTCATGCAAAGTACTGTTTGAAACCTGAAAGATTCATTATCTACTTGGCGCGTCCTATAGTCGTGAAAGTAAAATTGTTCTTTGAGATGGTTTCAGTTTTGCTGCAGCCGCTAATTTGGAAAGTGAGGCAAGTGCTTTTGTTTATCGGAATTTCTCTGTGAAGCATACATCTATTACTTCCGAAAAATAAAACGATCACTATTTTAAAATGAATATTCAACTGTGGGTTCCTTATGTCGCTTGGTGTTGAGAAGTTACTTGCATTTGGAATCTGAAAAATTCAAGCCCTCAATGGCTAACCTCTTTGAAAGTTCCAATTTATTACTTGTCATATAAACATTAAAATAGCTCTTTCATTCTTCTCAATAGATTTAATTTGACACATCACTTGTTACTGAAACAAATGAAATTTAGTTTTAGTTTTTTCCGTCCCTTAAATTTTGCCTCTGAACGTTTTTGAAAGAAAGCTTGTTTATCGATTATCAACGCTGATAGATATCTATTCTGCATTTCAAACATTAAATCTCCAAAAAAGTAATTTCCCACTTTCAGTTTCCCATTTTATTTCCCCATTCCCCATTCCCCATTCCCCATTCCCCATTCCTCATTTTTGCTTTTAGTTACATCCGATGCAAATGTTATATTAATCAACTGATATTCATGGAAAAACTTTTTGTCCACAAATGCAAATTGAATGATTAAGATCCATTACTGATGAAAATAAAGTTCTTCCGCTTCCACTTCAAAACAAGTACCTTGATGTAACTGCTCTGTTTGAAATAAAAGCAGAAAAGTTGACCACTGTACGTGTCTTCAGACGGCTGGGCGCCTCATTAATATATAACCTGTTTCAGAGCACTTGAGGTTAATAGCTGAGAAACATTTGCAAGTCAAAAAGACACAATGTGTTTGCAAAGTTTACCCTGGGCGGATCTTTATAATTATTGCGCCTAAAGCAAAGACAAAATAAAGCTGTTTTCTGCGACAAATTTCAGAAAGAAAAAATTTCGTGGCTATCAAACTTTCCCTCTAGATTCTAGGATGTCAAGATAAGCTAACTACATCATAACAAAAATGTTACATAATAATATGCGAAAATTACTTTTCTTAGCTTTAAAATACAAATTCAGGTTCGGGTTTAATCTGCCGTCATATGCACCAGTATTTTTCTCTCTCCCGTGAAGGCCATTCGTCCATGCTGAACGTTCAGATTATTAAGCGCTATTAAATCACCCTTCTTCCACCGAAATCCAGTTGCGCATGACCAAGAAACTGCTCTGATGTGTTGTAACACTTCCGGCTCGATGTCACTTCCGTCTCCATAATAGGTGTGATGAGGATATTTCTCATCCGGGAGATCAGAATCTTTGTACTGTGGCAGTGCTTTCGAGTAAGTACAGTGGTGAGTTGTTATTTGGTTGAACCAGATTTTTTCTCCTGTTACTGGATGAGAAAGAAAGGCCGGTGCGCTGTAAGTCAGGTACATATCACCGTTATCGTCCCATTTTACAGTGTAACCTTGCTGCTGTGCTCCTCTTTCTGCTGCCTAAAAGAGTGAATAAGGTCATCAGTGTAAATTCTATACCGGGTTCGAGATTGAAAATCGTCATTTTCTTTTGAAATCTCCACAATATTTTTTGTCTTCAAAGGACACTCAATTCTTACATGGGATTCCTGACGTGAACCAAGTTGTATTACCTTTCTGTCGTCAGTGTAAAACTGATGCTGCCAGGGCATGTAGTCTGATCGTGATTTGTCCGGCAGATATCGTACGTACATGACTCCTTTTACGTCGAACTTCTTCACGACTTCGGGATCAAGTTTGGATACAATGTCGCTGCATTTAGCCAAAGGAGTCTCGCCACCACAACTCTCGCCAGGCTCTTTTTGGCAGAAAAATAAAACCTGAAGAAGATCAATTAATGCATTAGAAAAATTAATAGACGGATAAAAGAATGGAAGAATCAACGAGTGGACGAATGAAAAAATAATCGTGTTAGCGAATAAACCGATGAACCTGTGAAGCAATGAGGCAGTGAACTAATGGACTAATGAAGCAATGATCGAATGGGTAAGTGAGAGGATTAGCAAATGAACGGATGAACAAGTGCTCAAGTGAACAAGTGAACAAGTGAACAAGTGCTCAAGTGCTCAAGTGAACAAGTGCTCAAGTGAACAAGTGCTCAAGTGAACAAGGGAACAAGTGAACAAGGGAACAAGTGAACAAGGGAACAAGGGAACAAGGGAACAAGGGAACAAGGGAACAAGGGAACAAGGGAACAAGGGAACAAGGGAACAAGGGAACAAGGGAACAAGGGAACAAGGGAACAAGGAACAAGAACAAGGAACAAGGAACAAGGAACAAGGAACAAGGGAACAAGGAACAAGGAACAAGGAACAAGGAACAAGGAACAAGGAACAAGGAACAAGGGAACAAGGGAACAAGGGAACAAGGGAACAAGGGAACAAGGAACAAGGAACAAGGGAACAAGGGAACAAGGGAACAAGGGAACAAGGGAACAAGGGAACAAGGGAACAAGGGAACAAGTGAACAAGTGAACAAGTGAATGAACGAAAGAACAAGAAAACGAGAAAACAAATAAACCAAAGTTCAAGTAAACTTATCCACAATGAACTAATGTATGGATTAGCGAAAGAACTACTGAATTAGCGATAGCGCATCATAAACCTGGTGACAGATTGGGGTGGCGTGGGGTGCCCACAAAATACCTCGGCACCTCAGCATCACTCGCCTTTATTTCATTCTAGACATACCTTCCTGGGGAAAGTCTTGAGATACGCCATTTCATTGTGTAACTCGATGGTGTACGCTCCGGGCTCAGTAGTGGCGAAGTAGATGTCAGAATTTTTCAATTCCTTGGGTCTGGGTGTAGCACCACCCTCGTAGTTCAAAGGCTTGCCTCGCATTCCTTGGGTTAAGGCCAAGAAGTCCTCTGCTGTCTCAGCTGGAAGTCCGCGGAACAATATCGCCTGGCTATTAGCAAGGTTCTTCTTTATGTATTCCATGCAATTTGCACCCAGTTCTAAGAGAGAGGATTTGTCTCCAGTTTTGACTCGCATACCTACCGGGAAAGAGTCATTTGGCTCTGCCAAGAACTCTGGGAATCCTTCACCCGTTGAGCCTGGGAGAAACTCCCTGTCTCGCAGCCGTGGTCTGGTTTTCGGTGCCAGCTCCTCTTTAGGAATTTGCTCAAAAATGCTGCCTGTTACTGAACTTGTTTTTGTAGACAAGACATTAGAAGTGGCATGTTTGATCGGCCTGATATGACAGAACCGAGATGACTGCCTCCAGGCCAACGTAAAGACAAACGTTGACATAACCTGTTTGATGAAAATGATATTTATTGGTTAAAAAGTAGCCGTTAAGTCGTTGCGTTATTGGCTATCTTAGAATCTCCTATTATACGTACGCAAATGTTGCCTTTAAGTCGGGGGTCACGAAAGCTAAGATCAAAGATACAGTATGAAATTATAAATTTACGATTCCGTAAAGATGCCGTAAAGAAAGCGTTAAGATCCTCTTTACGCGTCTTTACGAACTTCTTTACACTCTCGTAAAGAATGTCTTTACGCATTGAAAACGATAGTACGTAAAGACCACGGAGAGAGACTAAAAACGTTATCTTTACGTGCCTTGTAAAAAGTCGTATAGAGAATATTTACGATATTTTACGGCGACTGTAAAGCGAGTTTGGTCTGAATTTTTTGGCAACATTCCCTTTTGCTAATCAGACTATAACGAATGCGAGCTCGTGACAACATCAACGTAATGCGCTATCCTAGCGCGTATTGCCAAAAGTCGTTTTGAGAACGTTTGAGATATTTTACGCTTCTGTAAAACGATGCCGTACATGCCTTTCAAGAACTGATCCATATATAACAACTCGTGTTTTACATATTGCAATTTATTTTATTGTCATAACTCTTTAACTTAATTTTGTAATTTTCACAGTAACGTAGCAAGAGGTTTATATAAACAGGATAAGAACTGAAAAATACAAATATCATAAATATAAATATTTTTACATAGATATACGAAATGTCTCACTGGTTTCGCACAGCTTGTAGGCACATAAACCTTTGAGTTACCTTTCTTTTGATTTCGTTTCCTTGCTGCCCAAGTTTTTCTCGGCGACAAGTTTACACAAAGAGTCCACTTTGTTTGAAAGCTCTTCGAACTTTAAAGCATTTTGTTCATCGCGCTGCCTCAATTGTTCTCATAATGATTGGCTTTCTTTCAAAGAATCGTCCAGTAGCACAGTAAAACTGTCGCTCACGCTGATGTGGTCGGAAATTCTTGACATTTTGAAAGAAAAAGAGTTCACAGACCACTTCACACGCCAAAACCAGGAATAAAGGTCGGAAATCCTTGACATTTTGAAAGAAAAAGAGTCCACAGATCACTTCACACGCCAAAACCAGGAATAAAGGCCGGAAATCCTTGACATTTTGAAAGAAAAAGAGTCCACAGATCACTTCACACGCTAATAAATATTTATTGCCGCATTACAAACATTAAATCTCCAAAAAAAGTCATTTCCCATTTTTAATTTCCCATTTTATTTTCCCATTCACCATTCCCCATTCCTCATTCCTCATTTTTGCTTTCAGTTACATCCGATGCAAATGTTATAGTAATCAACTGATACTCACGGCAAAACTTTTTGTCTACAAATGCAAATTGAATGATTAAGATCCGTCATTTGACCCTTTAACTCCCAAGAATGACCAAGACAGAATTTCTCCTTACAATATTAATACATTATCAAGCAGACAAGTCATGAGAATAAAGATTAATTAATGTTTTTCTTTATACTGTAAGATTTTACGCCACTAACCCAGTCGGTGAATAAATTAAAATATAATTAATTTATATTACTGGCGTAAATTGTTAAATACATATATATCACCGACTGAAAGAAATTACGCCGTTAGTTACTGGCGTAAAATCTTCCACATAAAACTACCGACTGAAAGAAATTACGCCGTTAGTTACTGGCGTAAAATCTTCCATATAAAACTACCGACTGGAAGAAATTACGCCGTTAGTTACTGGCGTAAAATCTTCCATATAAAACTACCGACTGCAAGAAATTACGCCGTTAGTTACTGGCGTAAAATCTTCCATATAAAACTACCGACTGAAAGAAATTACGCCGTTAGTTACTGGCGTAAAATCTTCCATATAAAACTACCGACTGAAAGAAATTACGCCGTTAGTTACTGGCGTAAAATCTTCCATATAAAACAACCGACTGCAAGAAATTACGCCGTTAGTTACTGGCGTAAAATCGTACATATAAAACAACCGACTGCAAGAAATTACGCTATTAGTTACTGGCGTAAAATCCTACATATAAAACAACCGACTGCAAGAAATTACGCCGTTAGTTACTGGCGTAAAATCTTCCATATAAACACAACCGACTGCAAGAAATTACGCCGTTAGTTACTGGCGTAAATTCGTACATATAAAACAACCGACTGCAAGAAATAACGCCGTTAGTTACTGGCGTAAAATCGTACATATAAAGCGTAATTTCTTCCAGTCGGTTGTCTTAAATGGAAGATTTTACGCCAGTAACTTACGGCGTAATTTCTTCCTGTCGGTTGTGTTTATATGTAAGATTTTACGCCAGTAACTGACGGCGTAATTTATTCCAGTCGGTTATCTTATATGGAAGATTTTACGCCAGTAACTAACGGCGTAATTTATTCCAGTCAGTTATCTTGTATGGAAGATTTTACGCCAGTAACTAACGGCGTAATTTCTTGCAGTCGGTTATGTTTATATGGAAGATTTTACGCCAGTAACTAACGGCGTAATTTATTCCAGTCGGTTGTCTTATATGTAAGATTTTACGCCAGTAACTAACGGCGTAATTTATTCCAGTCGGTTGTCTTATATGGAAGATTTTACGACAGTAACTAACGGCGTAATTTTCTTCCAGTCGGCAATGTTTATATGTACGAATTTACGCCAGTAACTAACGGCGTAATTTCTTGCAGTCGGTTGTGTTTATATGTACGATTTTACGCCAGTAACTAACGGCGTAATTTATTGCAGTCGGTTGTGTTTAAATGGAAGATTTTACGCCAGTAACTAACGGCGTAATTTATTCCAGTCGGTTGTCTTATATGGAAGATTTTACGCCAGTAACTAACGGCGTAATTTCTTGCAGTCGGTTGTGTTTATATGGAAGATTTTACGCCAGTAACTAACGGCGTAATTTCTTCCAGTCGGTTGTGTTTATATGTAGGATTTTCCGCCAGTAACTAACGGCGTAATTTCTTCCAGTCGGTTGCTTTATATGTACGATTTTACGCCAGTAACTAACGGCGTTATTTCTTGCAGTCGGTTGTTTTATATGTACGAATTTACGCCAGTAACTAACGGCGTAATTTCTTGCAGTCGGTTGTGTTTATATGGAAGATTTTACGCCAGTAACTAACGGCGTAATTTCTTGCAGTCGGTTGTTTTATATGTAGGATTTTACGCCAGTAACTAATAGCGTAATTTCTTGCAGTCGGTTGTTTTATATGTACGATTTTACGCCAGTAACTAACGGCGTAATTTCTTGCAGTCGGTTGTTTTATATGGAAGATTTTACGCCAGTAACTAACGGCGTAATTTCTTCCAGTCGGTTGTTTTATATATAGGATTTTACGCCAGTAACTAATGGCGTAATTTCTTCCAGTCGGTTGTTTTACATGTAGGATTTTCCGCCAGTAACTAACGGCGTAATTTCTTCCAGTCGGTTGCTTTATATGTACGATTTTACGCCAGTAACTAACGGCGTAATTTCTTCCAGTCGGTTGTGTTTATATGTACGATTTTACGCCAGTAACTAACGGCGTAATTTCTTGCAGTCGGTTGTGTTTATATGGAAGATTTTACGCCAGTAACTAATAGCGTAATTTCTTGCAGTCGGCTGTGTTTGTATGGAAGATTTTACGCCAGTAACTAACGGCGTAATTTCTTGCAGTCGGTTGTTCTATATGTAGGATTTTACGCCAGTAACTAACGGCGTAATTTCTTCCAGTCGGTGATATATATATATGTAACATTTTACGCCAGTAATATAATTTAATTATATTTTAATTTATTATAATTAAATCACCGACTGGGTTAGTGGCGTAAAATCTTACGGTATATAGACTGTGTTAGTCACATATTACTCCGCTATCTAACTACCGCTTTTTTTTTTATTAAACGTGGGGCGTGACGAATTCGTTCTTAGCAGCCGAAGGGCTTCTTCTTCTACGAATCCCGTATTTACGCCAATGATGACACGAAAAAAGGTTCGTGTATCAGAAGGTCTTTTTAATGCTTTTAATATAAGACTCACGTCTAGGAATGTATTTTCTGAATTTTTTATTATTCACACAGCATATGAAAGTCACGCTCAACGAAAGGCTCTATCGGATATTGTGTGACACCCGCCGTGACTCGACTGACCAAAGAATCTGCGAATTTTAGAAGATTTCGCTCTCTCTCTCTCTCTCTCGTTTAAAGAATGTTATCGTTCTGTTACCTCCAGATTATGAAAGCAAAATCTTTAGGCTTTACGTAGAGGTGTGAATTATACCGGTAAACAATAATCTTGTACTGGCAAATAAATCTTTTGTGTTGCTGACTCGCGATATTTTATGAAGCTTTGACCTCATTTTTCGAGATGGGGAAAGACTCTGGGCCGAGGTTTCTACAACGCATGCTCCCATCTGCGCGTTACCGCCAAATTTGAAAAGAATAATAAATTCCGCGTATTTTGATGTATAATTCATTAGGGTACGGTTAAGTTTCGGCCTGGCAAATGGGCCTTGAAGTCAACACTTTAGTTCTATTTCTGCTGCTGACCTTTGTAAACAGCGCGAGTGCGATAGAAGAGGAATTCGAGCGAGCAGAACCCGGAGATGTTCCTTCATTTACGTACGAAATAAACAAGTAAGTATCCATTCAAGCTTAGTTAATTTATTCGAAGATTCATTGTGTTAAAGAACCTTTTCGTCTTGTTTTGTAGCTACCTCATCTGTTCAGTCTGTAAGGAACTAGAAGGGAAAATTTACGACTTAAGTACCGAGCCCGCTTCGTCGGCAAGAATAAAAAGAATTTTCGAAGAGTCTGCGCTAAGAAGTGTAATCATCAACAGTCGTATTATTAATGTCTTCAAGAAGAAAATTTCGCTTCTTTTCTCGGCATTGAAGAAAGCTGGTCAAAAAGGCAGTCGCCATGTTAAGAAGCTTAAAGAAAAATGGCAGAAAGAAACGTACTCATTCAAGGTATTTTATGATGAAATTGAAACATGTCAGCTACACCAGAAGAACAGGGGTTTGCGTGGACAAAAGAGAAAGCTGGAAGCATCCCTCGCAAATGAACAGGCGAAAAGGCTAAAGGTAGAAGAGAAACTCGAACAGGTACTTAAGAAGACAGAAAAGAAGGATAAAAACTACAAAAAGAAATTTAAGATTCTAGCGCGTAAAATTGCAAAACTATAGAGAGATGGAAAGAGAGGGCCGGACAAAAAGAAAAAATTTACCGATTATACGAAACCGCATCAGTCACGTCTTCGACAACAGATGAAGGAAAACTGTCAGGCAACACTATCCTTCCTTGGATTGAATGATTTTATTGCCACAAAAGTAGAAGTTTTCAATGGCGAAACTCAACAGTACGAGACATTTCCTTGATTGATCAAAACGAGCTTCCACTAAAGGACAACGACTCAACGGAGCTGACAGATGAAAATTTGGGTGACATTAATATGTGGATCTATATTAAAGATAGATTTAACATTTCAAATGAGGCTTGGCATTAGTTGGCCACGAAAACCAAACAGATGCCAAACAATTATAAAACAGAGAAGAAATTAAAGGACTTTAATGCAAAATGGGATCTCCAACCCACACCTGGCCAAGCCAAGGGAGTCCAGTTGGGTTTTAATCAGGCTTCAGGGGAAAGGAGTTTTTAACATGAACACAAAAATCAAAGTTAAAATTAGTGGGGATGGGATGAACATTGGCAAAAGGCTCAAAATTGTTAATGTAACTTACATAATATTAAATGAAAGAAATATCGCAGTGAGTGAAAAAGGCAACTATATTCTTGCCACAATCAAAACTACTGTAAGCTATGATAATTTAAAGGCAAGCATTGCAGATCTTAAAGATGAAATGCTGAATTTAAAGGAAATGTGTGGGTGATTATAAATATGACATTGAATACTTTTTGGGAGGGGATTGGAAGTTCTTAGCTTATGTGTGTGGTTTGGGTGCAGCAAATCAGGATTACTCCTGTATTTGGTGCAAGTGTCCCAGGAGTGAAAGGTTTGATGCAGCAAGAAGTGGTCCCTCACAGACAGGTCCCTTGGTGTAAGATCATGTGAAGAAATAACCAGCAATGCAAAATCTAAGAAGTTTAATTGTAAATCAGAGCCTTTATTTTCTTTCATTCCAATTGATCATGTCATGATTGACAAACTTCACTTATTTTTGAGGATATCTGACAACTTGATTGAGCTTCTTATCCAGCAACTTTGTAAGGAAGATGCTATAGATGAAGTGAAAACTTTTCCTGGTGGATTTACAAGGGAGAAATATAAACATATGGCTGGATATGAAAAGTTTCTGAAGGACATTGGTATTTCCTTTGACTGGAGAGTAAACAAAGACTATTGACTCCAAGAAATTAGAATATAGAGACCTTACTGGACCAGAAAAACTGCTTGTTATGCAAAGCATAAATTTCCAATCACTCCTTCCCAACTTCAAGCAAACCAAAGAAATGGAGAAACTATGGGCCAGTTTTATGGAAATTATTGGAGACCTGAAGCTTGAGTTTACAACTGATGATGCTATCACTCAGTTAACAAATAATCATGGTTTGATAAGTTTCTATGCTTGTATCAAGCCAAAGATGTTACCCCATACATGCATGCACTATATGCTCATTGCCTGAATTCTTAAAACTCTATTTAAACATATCCTATTTTACAAAACAAGGAGAGGAAAAATATAATGATACTGCAACCAAACACTATTTTAGATCCTCAAATCATAGGGGAATTTCTGCTCTAAAACAGATTCTCTTGAAGAAAAATAGAATACAGCTCTTAGAAGCAGCTGGCATGGAGAGAATAAAGAAAAGTTACAAGTGTAGGAATAGTCCATTTTACAGTTGTCTGCTTGGTTGCCAAGCCTTTGAACAGGAGTGAGGCTAAGGGTGACCTTGTTATGATACAAACCTTGCTGCTTTTGAAATGCAAATTAATTTGTTATCATGCTAACTAGATTCTGGTCTCTAACACAACACGGTCACCTTCAGCCTCACTCCAAATCAAAGGCTTGGCAACTAAGTACACAACTGTAAAATGGCCTATTGTGAAGGTCTTGGTCATACCATAAAGACATGCTCTGCTAACTGTACGAAATGCCAGACTGCAGTTTGTTGTGCACACCCTATTAAAGTTGATGGAAGGTGGACACAGATGTACATTGTAAATTTCTCTCTATTGACTTTAACTTTGAGGGCTTGGCTTCCTAGTTGACATGTTGATTACTGTAAATATAAATAAATGTAATATCTATGGGTAGTTAAGATATTCCAAAAGTCTTTAAACTTTAGTGTAAACAAATGTTTTCATTCACTCAATTTCAATAATTAACTGACAATGATTATAAACTGATAATAAAATATATTCAAACAACAATAACTGTAGATGTGTGATTGTGATTAACTCTTCAATTTAGCAGTCCCCCCTTGTTATGTACTAATGTCTATTTCCATCTCCACGAACAAAAGTAAAAACAAGCTGATGGTCATCTTCAATTTCTGACCTCACATACGGGCGACCCTAAAAGCCGGAACGGCGGAATGGCGGAATGGCGGAATGGCGGAAAATGACCCCAAATCCTAAAACATGGAACGGCGGAAAATGACCCCAAATCCTAAAACATGGAACGGCGGAAAATGACCCCAAATCCTAAAACACGGAATGGCGGAAAATGACCCCAAATCCTAAAACACGGAACGGCGGAAAATGACCCCAAATCCTAAAACACGGAACGGATGTCAGGGCATGTTGCACAAATTTTGTACAAAGACACCAAACGCTTGGCTCATTTATCCTCACGACGATAACGCGCGTGACTAAAATTAAGTGTTACTAATTTTTTTTCTTTTACTGAGTGGCATAAATAATAATGAACCATTATGCATGAAAGATAGCTGCGTTTTCGCGTTGTAAACCTGTTTAGTTACCTTTTGTTATGCAAAATTTGCCTTGAGTTTTAGTCGCGGCATAAAAAGTCGCACAGTATGTGAAAACCAACTCGACATACCACGTTACAATAAACAATTATAACTTTGATACGTTTCCTGGTCACGTCTGCATTGATTTATTGAAACAATAATATCTCATATGCTTGTAAATGTGAGAACATCACAGGAACGTTTTCAGGCTTCTCAAAATATGACAACCGTTCAGCCCCAGCTCCAAACTTAGACTAGCGTGAGAGCAAGCCCTCGTTACGAGCCCTTCAATAAGAGCGTTTTTTCATCCACGAATAAGTTTTGGGACTTGAGTAACACTAGTTGAAGAGAGGTTTGCAGGGTGTCACGCGCGGGGAATTTCTCATGGCGTGAAAAGACAAAAAGAAAGTTAGCAGAAGGAAGCCGTCAAGAAGAATTTGAAGAATTTCTTCGCGACCAGGTGTCCAAAACACCACCGTGCCCAAACTTAGACTAGCGTGAGAGCAAGCCCTCGTTACGAGCCCTTCAATACGAGCGTTTTTTTTTCATCCACGAATAAGTTTTGGGACTTGAGTAACACTAGTTGAAGAGAGGTTTGCAGGGTGTCACGCGCGTGGGAATTTCTCATGGCGTGAAAAGACAAAAGAAAGTTAGCCGAAGGAAGCCGTCAAGAAGAATTTGAAGAATTTCTTCGCGACCAGGTGTCCAAAACACTACCATCCTACTGTGAAATTTACGGCTTACATATCAGCGGAAGAAATAAACTTTCTAAACAAAAAAGGGGCTATTTCACTAATTCTTCTAATTTGCATGGTGAGAATAGATCCTGTCACTAGAACCCCGCTAACTCGAACCCGGCGAACTCGAAACCCCCACTTACTCGAACAAGACCCAATTTCCCTTGGATTTGACCCCATTTTTTCCAGTCATTTGCTAGCAGCAACTCCTAAAAGACGGCATGGCGGAAAATTACCCCAAAGCCTAAAAGACGGAATTATAGGCAAGGCCAAAGGATCAAGAGAGCCAAATAAAAATCAAGTGTACCCACACTAATTTCCCCTTAGGAGGATAACTTCCGCGGATATTAAGTCGATACCGGAAAAAATATCTTTGCTCGTAATAATGTTTAATATCATGCTGTGGATGTCCATTAACTAATTTATCAACCTCTCTTTTTTGAGTAAAATTGACATTAGGCCTGTGAGGGTTTGACTTTGTCCACATGCAGTGATGCAATCACAAGCGTTGACTTACTTCTTGTTAACGCAATCTTAACTAAAACTCCGACATTATCAGTGAAAATATATCGAGCTTAAATCAACGAGGAATACCATTATCTAATATTAACGGGACCTGTCAATGTCAGTCATCTTAACACAGGTTTCACCAACTAACCCTAATAATAATAATGAGTGAATTTTTAGACAAAATATGCCACACGGTTGCTTAATTTAAAAGTGAGAATGATGTTGATTTAAAAAAACTGGAAATAATTTCAGCAATAACTAACATTAACGGGACCTGTCTACGAATCATGTTCACACAGGTTTCGTCTTATAACATAAACAATGGTCGACTCAAGCGAAAACTACAATTGCTACAATTGCTTACATAAAAACATTTGAAATACTATTACTTTTCTATCATGAAAAACCAAACTGAGCCGAGCGGGCTTGAAAAGTACTGCATTTCCCCGAATAAGCACCCGAGCGCTCATCTAAATTTTTGGCTAAAAGAAGGGGCTCTTACAAGGAGAGAACTTAATCGAGGGGGGCACTTAAAAGGAGATTATTAACCTGCACTGATTGTGCTGTAGTTGAGTCTGAAGGCGTTGGGGGTGAGTGCTTATTCGAGAAAATACGGTAATTATGGCCTCGTAGCCACGATTGCGCAGACTGTTCATAGACCGAACTCGCTTCGTAAATGCCGAAGATGAATATCATCCATCACCTCCTTGTCAGCATCCGTTACTTCCACCCACGGATAATACTTTTTGCCGTGGGCGTTGCGAATGCAGGACAATTTTGGGTGATAATGCACTGGTTCCGGCTTGATGGACATCTTCAGCTCACCAGCACCATTAGGGATTAGCCGGAGTTCCAGTCGTGCGAGAACTAAGTCCCAAGGTGGTGGAGGAACAACTTCCGTTTCGCCTTTCTGGGGTTTGGGACGGATATTTTGCCGACACCCATAACATCTGTAAACTCTCGAGTTCTTGAGCCATTTAACTTTGAAGGTATTGGTGTTAAGTGTTGGTTTCGGAGGGGTAGGAACTCTTTCTGTGTATTTGCTAGTTGAATGCTCGGACTGGGGATTACGTTTTCTTTTCCGTTCGGCTTCTCCAGGTTTCCCACCGACTGACTTTGGCATGTTCTTGTAAGCGCATTTGGTCAGATTCTTGTTCTTAGCCTATGCATTCTTGATCGAGCCTTCTTCCAGTTGTAAAAATGCCTCCATTGAAATTTCATGAACTCTCCTATTAACCTTCTCCTTTTGGGCGTGCGACTTCCCGATGTAGGTGGAGAAGGGAACATGAAGCTTGGAACTGTATTGCTGCCTTATCTTGAAAGGACCCTCATCCACAATAGCCCTTTCGCAATTCCTTTCCTCCTCTTCAGAAATAGATTTTAGCAAGTCAACTACTTCAGTCCAGGCGAGTTTTCTTTCCCCGTACATCTGCCCTTTTCGTGCTTTTATCCGCTGATGTTTGGACTCTGCTGCGTTGTTGTAAAAAAAAAGGCTTCCCCCAGGCCAGCACGTTTTCTAACGGGGGGAAATCATCTTCTTCTTCATGTCTTCCGCAACGTGTGCGACAAAGTACTTGTGGAATTCTGCTTTGCTTGAATCGGAGAGTGCTGTACCCCTTGATGTTTTTTCTCTTGAATTCCACACGTTTTCCAAACTCTCAAGTTTAGCATCAAAGTCCATGCATCCTTCGGAATCGATGAGCCCTTTTTCATGGTTGGCATCAGACCCAAATATGTCACGTAGAAAAGCTGTAAGGTACTCTGATGAGATTCCTAACGAGCGAAGCTTCCTTTTACAGTCCTCTACCACGTGACGTTTGCAAGCAAGCCATGTTGCAACAGGAAGATAAGGACTCATTCCCTTCTCAACGGCATCTTCTCGGTCTGACCCTATAAATCGTATGTTTCTAGTGCCGTTTTCAAGTCCTGTAAGTGTGGCTCCAAAGTAGCTGAAGGTGTCGCTATCCTTTCTCGTGTGTATTAGTGTTGGCCCAAGTAAAAGAGGGGGATTTTCAGTTCTCCTGTCGTCCAGCAGCAGATGCCTATAGGTTGTAGGTGTCACATAGAAGTCGCCAATGTTGAAAGTTGTGTCGATGGAGAGCACTGAAAATTGTTCAGTTGTATTGGCACAAAACCGCTTAACATCCTGAACTTGCCTATCAGAAGCCAAAACGCATGCCGGACCAGGTGCAACTTGCAGGCGTCGAATATAAACTTTTCCCGTTTCCTCCTCTTCTTTTGATTTGAGGGTTAGGTCGTATAACTCGTCTTGACTTCGAACTTCCCTTCCCTTATATTTTGCGTTCTCCACTTGCTTTCTATTTCTGGGAACATCTGAGACACTGCAAACCTTGAGTAGGCCCCAGCCTCTTCAAACACTTCGTCATACACTTTGGACGGAGGAGCAGAACCTTTCACCTTTCCCTTGATGCTCTCCAAAACTCCACGTTTGGTGCGAGTAAAAGCTTTCTCGGACTTAGAATTACCGTGTGGTTTGGTCGTGACCGCATGTGGTTTTCCGCTGAAACTGTACTGTAAAAGTACGAATCGCTCGGGCGTAAAGCTGTGCCCACTATATCTGAGTATTTCATAAGCTCTTCTGCGGAAATCAGGATGTTGTACGTGCGTCCAGTACGTTCTCTTGAGAAGAACTGTGGAGCGTTTGCAATCTTCTGGTTTTGTTTTGGATATCCAGCGGATTTCCGGATTCTTGTCCTCGTAATACGCAACAACATGAGTTCCATCGTTTTTGTAGACTCCAAGGCCATCTGCTTTCCAGTCGTCTGGGTTTCGAAAATACGGCGACTTTTTATCAATGATGAAAATTTTGTTTTCTTGACACTTTACGGGTGGTTTCGAAGCGACTTTATCTTCAGGAGGATCTAGTAATAGCCGTGCAATGTCGCTGTTTGACAATTCCTTCATCTCTGAGGCATAAACCGGTATGTGTTTATCACCAAGATAAAAAGACGCAGTTTCACTGTGATCCTGGGATTCAGAACTGTTCACAAATGTTTCAGAGTCGTCATCGTCAGACTCAACCCTAAAAATAATTATAAAAAATATTAGCGTTTTTCGGTTGAAAAAGAAGCACACAGGGGCGTTAGGTGTGGGTGAAAGATCCCCTAGCCAACCAATCCAATACAGTGGGGATCATCTTCGAAACAACACACTTACAGAAAATAACACTTTAAGGCCCCTTTCTATATCCTAACCAATTACCAAAAACCAGGTCTACAATTCTAACGCCCTGTCAATCGGAGTTCTTTTCATTTAACTTATTGCAGAACACACCACGATCTTAACGAACGAATACCTTTATATATTGAAAAGTGTAGTATTGTTCAACCTCAAAATAGTTGTTTTCACAAGAACTCATTGGAATGTCGAAAATCCTCACACGCTTTGTTGGCCTAGTATCTGCTGAGTAAATCTTTCCAGTTTGTTTGGATGTCCGCGCTAACGTGGAGGCCGTTAATTCAGTTAAACAAACACCGTCAGTTTTGTGTTTAAAGGTTTGCGCGCACCTACCAACACAAAGACTGTGAGAACTTTGTTATTTGGAATTTATAAACTGTACTTTATAAACCTTTCATTGATATATAATATGCATGGGACGATTTTTTCCGATGGCTCCCTATTAATTAATTATTAATTAATTATGATAATTACCTGTCTCCATCAATATCGCTAGAAATGCTCGCACAACTTTGATATTCTACGACACCATCATCTTTAGAATTGTCAACGGTAACCTCCTCTGAAGCTTTAATGCTGGTGCTATATTTAAAAAAAAAATGTCACTGGAGCGTTCATCATCAATTAGCGTTATTTGACAGAAACAATATTGATGTTCATATTATTAACAGGGTCGTTAATAAAAGGTAAGAAATTATTTAAAGAAGAATATAAAGCAATCTATGGATTTCCCGACTAGAGTAATTTTGTTCTTTGTACGTTGTACAAGTGAATCAACTTAATAAACTCATATATTTCCACCCACCCCACTCTAAAGTTATTTGAACTTTGCAGAAAGTACATGTGTCAACTTATGACCATACAAGAGACTACACACAATATCAGACTAGAAGAGACAAGCAGAGGTGGTTCTTAATTACCTGCTTGCATCATTATCACTTAAAACACTAGCATCATGTTGATTCTCATCTTCAGAACTGTCTATGGAAATAACATCTGGGACTTTGCTGGATTGGCTGTAACAAACAGCAATGAGCAATGAGGATGAGGAATGTTTTCAAATGGATGCATTTAAGATGACATGTGTGATTTCTTTTTTTAACAAGACTCTTTACCTGGACAGGTCAAGGTTTAACTTTCTTTTACAAAATTCTTGTTCCACCTTGATGGCGGTTTGATACCTGGGAAGCCACATAGAAAATAAGTCAAAAAGCATACTGGCATAAAAGACGTAAAAGCATATGGTAATTGGGGAAACAGTATACCTCTTCACCTTCACAGGAGATTTAGAGGGTGATTGGGAGGAATCATTCCCCTACAGAGTTAAGCAGAAACAAATTACTATAAGCATCTATAGTAGTATATTTATAGGTTATTAAGATAGAGTCGCTGAGTTCACTCTACATACGAGAAGAGGGATTCTGTTGGTTAACGGGCACCATTCCACGATATCTGGTAAAATTAGTCGAAAGTGTAGCCAGAATTATTTGGTTTTTTTTATACCTAGGCACCACATTATAAAAAGGGTACATACTTGTACACAATATGCCTCTTCTTTCAAGTCATCATCAACACCTGTGTGGAAAATCGAACGCTTTGTGACAAGAAGAATTGAAGAAGCCGATTGTTACATAGACCCATTTCTAATCTTCTGCCACAAGCAAATGAATTAGCATGTGTATTAAAGTTTTCCCTCATTTCGATAGTTGGAGGGTATGAAATGTTACTTACTTGAAGGTACTTTGATATCCTCACTTAGAGTTGTCTTGTGACTACAAAAGGGACTAAAAAGAAACAAACCTTTAGCTGTGTGTCTGCTCACTCTTTACATTCATTTCTTAACCCATATAAGCATTCTGAACTTGTGGGAGATTTGGACGCTTTTTTTTTCAAATCAACTTGTGTGGTCAGTTAAGTAGATGTTAGCTTTTATTTTTTCAGCGCTATTACCTGGACTTCGTCATCTCAGCAACAGACTGCTGAGCACAGCTCTTAACTCCACTCTGACTGAGTCGTTTCCATACCCACGCACACAGATCTTCAGCAGCTAACTGCCTATCGTCTTGAAGGAAAACTTTTACCAAACCATTACCGTTACCGCCGAGCTCATGGAATATGGCATGTGTGTCCATAATAAATAGGTATCCAAATGCCCATCCTATTGTAAAGATGTACCCACCGCAGGAATAGAAGGCAAGCCTCATCTCTCTTTTTGCTGTAAGTTGGTACACAACTGCTCTTAGCTCATCTCTGGCACACACTGAGTAAGCTCCATGGCTTGAAAGGATTTCCTCACTGAATTCGTACTCCTCTTTTATCAGTTTACATTTCTCCAGAATTCCATAAGCCTCCGATACGTCGTAATGCCGACTTTTACCTCAGTAAGGCAGGCAATTTCTTCAAATGTGGTGACAGTTGACCTCTCATTTTGGCACAGCAAGTGATCGTCAAAAACCACGGGCAGAAATGCACAGCCATTGGTCCCATCACCAGGAACGTACGAGCTAGTTGCATTCTCAATGCAGGTTCCTTGGTTGACTGTGAGTGGTAAGTTTCTGCTGTTTGACAGGTCTTCATTTGTCAAGACATCTACTATGTATTTTGCATCTGGCCTGTCTTTCGGATGGAAACGCGTACAATATTCAGATAATTTGCGAAGTCGGAGGCAATTTACTGCATGTTGCATGCAATAGTGATCCGAGTGAGCCGGCTTCTCATTTTTAGAAATGAGCCCTTCTAACACAGATAGACAATTTCCGGTTTGAACCCTTTCCAACTCCATCTGAAAAGGGTACTTCAAGTCCGGATTGATAATGACGAACAATACCATCCCTAGGGCCCAGATATCCACAGCCTTTAGGTCTACTAAGGACAGAGCTGATCCGTTCTGGCAAAATATTTCTGGTGCACGATAAGCGGGCGTTC